ATGCTTTGTGGCAAGTCTGGTTGAAAGTGGCCACATAGTTTTGGAGAAGTTATGAATGGATGACTCACACACCTACAGAAATAGGTTACCTGAGTAACACAGGTGACCTAAAAATTCTAGATTCTTATCTATGCCCACATTTATTTGCCTTTGCTCTAGTTTTTATTTATATGTTTTCAAATAACTAGAAATAGCGTTGAACTAAAATTAGGCATCTTCGCTAGCCAAGGGTTTCCGATCTGAAATCTACAACCCAAGGGTTGTAGAGTAGATTTCAGATGGGAAACCCTTGGCTAGCGAAGATGAAATTAGGAGATATCCATATTCTGTGGGATATTGGTTTCATGATAAACATTCTTTGATCACTGCTAGTTATGCTGTTGTTCGGTGTTTCACTTAGTACATCATTAAATAAAATGTACATTCAATTCCCATTAATTACAATAAATGGCCAAATTATGCTAGAGCAATCTTTGTAAGACTATATACAGACTTGTAAGGCAAACTAAACAGCCAATTTGTTTTAACTTGTAATGTAGGGCAAGCCTTACTACATGTATGTGTACTGGCTTATATGGATAAATATAAACAAAATGAAAATACCTTTAAAATGGCAGAGAGATCGTATGTTTGAATTGTGGTTGAAAGCGCCTACTGAAGAGGGAGACCACACTTCTGGCAGGCTTGTAAGACACCAAGCTCCACAATTCTCCAACCCTCTGTCCATCCAATGCTTTTGCATGAGCTGGTACAATCTCTTCATGATCCACAACTTGAAAACTGGGAGTGACACACCCTTCATCTATTGGATATTTATTTAAAAACAAACTTCAAAGTACTTTTTAAGATTTGAGATATATTTTCAAATGTAATTTGTATATAAAACAAAAATTGTATGCATTCCATTAGCTCAAGATTTGATACTTAACCGATACTGATACAGAACTGGTTATCTTTTTTCATACTTGTATGTAAAATTTTCTGTAATGAATTTAATATATAAATATTTTAACATTAAGTTTCTTGCCGTTTGACCCAAAGTATACTGATATGACCTCGAATGTGATCCTGACTTTCACTATGAATTGACTTTGAATTTATTTGACTTTCCATTCAAACTTTCTATGGAAGTTATTAATAAATCACAAGAAATTGTGTTGTCAAGTGATCTTGAAATAAAACCCCTTAACGTAAAAAAAAAAAAATATGTTAACTTTATGCAGACCAACATTTTTTTTCCACACCACAACCCTAACATTACTTCTTTCATATGTACATTTGTATCCCTTATCAATCCTCACAGTGTATATAAATAAAGATAAAGGAATTAATCTGAAATAGAATTACAGTATTAAAATCCTTTTGCAATGCAAGTTTAACTTTGATGGTCAATTCAAGTTTAACATTTGACTTGTCTACCAATTTTGCACTGCACTAAATGCCCATGGTGGTGACCCATGCAGTATTGACATGTTTTTGTTCGAAGTTCCTACACAATTTGAATTAATAATTAGTATTATGAATCAAATTCATTCAATTTTAAAGACATATTTTCCAACAGAAAATCTCTCCTATTCATACCTGGATCTGAACTTACAAGTGTATGAGTTGAACGCTAGTGCTACCCAAATGGGGGGGGGGGGGGGGAGCAGATGGCTCAACGAAGAATCTTGGTTGCTGCTGATATCACTTGGCATTTAAAAGTTTATCAACTTGCACAAATATTGATTAATTCAATAAAATATCTCCGAACTTTGCAGATTAGTTTCCTTGCAATCTCCGAGCATTTTGTTTACATAAATGCCGGGGCTACGTACTTTCTATTTCACAACGGGGAATAACTCTAATCAAAAGAAAGGACTTTTTGAAGAAAAATGTTATCATCAAAAGCAACATGAATCACTTAATCGCTCAAAATTTCTTGATACGCTTGATTCCTTGTTAATATATGAATTCCAACAACATTTTTATTATGGCTAGTAACATTTACACAGTCTGAGATCGATTAGGGATATGTAATTTTTAGCCTTCGTAACCATCATTTGATGGACTAGGCCTACATTATGATTTGCCGCTTTTCTTACCGGTTTTTGACATATGGTCACTATGACACCGCATACACCTCTGTCTCTGGGCTTCTGACTGGTTTTTGTACAAAAAATTCCATTTGCGGGTGGCAAAGCCGCCCTTTGCATGTCCCATTTTCTCTCGTCTGTCAGTTCGGGAAATCGCGCGTTGTAGTTACTATGGAGATCGGAAACTGGTCAGTTGTCGTAATAAAAACAAGACGTACTTGTTGGCAATGCAGATAATTTTAATTCGTATTTTTATCGAAAAAATATATGCAGGAAAGGTAGATGCACAGCATAATTAATTATTTAATGTTTCATACACTTCAACTGACGTTACATTGAATGCAACTTTCGTTCCACTTTGTGTTAAAAAAGCTCACACTCATTCAACCTTAATTTAAATATTTCAGATACTAATTGGCTTGGAATCATCAAACTTTGTCAGTTGATGCATCTTGGGTCCTCAACGTATGTCAACCAAAAAGTAGGTCACTGTGACCTACTACCGTGACCTACTTTTGGAATTTGATGGCTTTTTCAGTTTTTTAGCTCACCTGAGCCAAAGGCTCAAGTGAGCTTTTCTGATCACATTTTGTCCGTCGTCCATCTGTAAACTTTTCACATTTTCAACTTCTTCTCAAGAACCACTGGGCCAAATTCAACCAAACTTGCCACAAAGTATCCTTGGGTAAAGGGGATTCAAGTTTTTTCAAATGAAGGGCCACACCCTCTTTCAAGGTTAGATAATTAGGAATTAGTGAAAAAATAATGGCATCATTTCAAAATCTTCTCAAGAACCACTGGGCCAGGAAAGATGACACTTATGTGGAAACATCCTCAGGTAGTGTAGATTTAAGTTTGTTCAAATCATGACCCCCAGGGGTAGGGTGGGGCCACAATGGGGGATCAAAGTTTTACATAGAAATATATAGGAAAATGGTCGCCCGCGTGGCACAGTGGTTAGAGCGTCTGTTCTAGAGTTGCGAAGTAAGGAGTTGATCCTTACGTCGCAGGTTCGAATCCCACTGTGGGACGTGGAGACCGGTCCTTCGGATGAGACCGTATAAACCGAGGTCCCGTGTCACAGTAGGTGCTGGCACGAAAAAGACCCCTCACTGCTCATTGGCCGTAAGTGCCGAGTATAGGACAAAATTTGCAGCTCTCCACCGGCAAGTGGTGGCGTCTCCATATGAGTGAAAAATTCTCGAGAGGGACGTTAAACAACACACAAACAAACAAAATATAGGAAAATGTCTTTAAAAATCTTCTTCTTAAGAACAGCAAAGCCATGATAGGTCATATTTATATGGAAGCATCCTCAGGTAGTGTAGATTCAAGTTTGTTCAAATCATGACCCCCGGGGGCAGGGTGGGGCCACAATTGGTGATCAAAGTTTTACATAGAAATATATAAGAAAATATCTTTAAAAATCTTCTTAAGAACAGTAAAGCCATGATTGGTAATTTTTATATGGAAGGATCCTCAGGTAGTGTAGATTCAAGTTTGTTCTAATCATGACCCCCGGGGGTAGGGTGGGGCCACGATGGGGGATCAAAGTTTTACATAGAAATATATAGGAAAATGTCTTTAAAAATCTTCTTCTTAAGAACAGCAAAGCCATGATTGGTCATATTTATATGGAAGCATCCTCAGGTAGTGTAGATTCAAGTTTGTTCAAATCATGTCCCCCCCCCCCCCTCCCCGAAGATAGGATGGGGCCCAGTGGGGGATCAAATTTTTTCATAAGAGTATATAGAAAAAAACTTTAAAAATCTTCTTCTCAAGATCAGCAAAGCCATGATTGGTCATATTTATATGGAAGAATCATCAGGTAGTGTAGATTCAAGTTTGTTCAAATCATGACCCCTGTAGGTAGGGTGGGGCCACAATGGGTGATTAAAGGTTACACAGGAATATGTAAGAAAAAATCTTTTTCTCAAGAACAGAAAAGCCATGATTAGTCAAATTGATATGGAGGCATCCTTGGGTAGTGTAGAATGAAATTTGTTCAAATGAGGGCCCCCGGGGGTAGGGTGGGGCCACGATGGGGGATCAAATTTTTACAAATGAATATATGGAAAAAATCTGCTGCTGAAGAACAGCATAGCCATTTGTTATATTGATATGAAAGCATCATCAGGTAGTTTAAAATTCAAACCCACCCCTGGTAAACTTTTCAATGCTGAACTGATTTTTGCTTTTTTTTTTCCTAGCTTATGTGCTCAGGTGAGTGATGTGGCCCATTGACCTCTTGTAATTGGCTTAGAATCATCAAACTTTGTCAGTTGATGCATCTTTTAAAAGTCCTCAGAGTATATCAACTAAAAATAGGTCACGGTGACCTACTTTTGCAACTTCATGGCTAAATTTATATATTTCAGATACTAATTGGCTTGGAATAGGTTGTACAATTTCTCAGAAGAGTGACTCTAGGCCCTTGGGCCTCTTGTTCAGAAATTCACAAAAAGGCCTTAGGTGAACTTGTTCTCTGTTCAATTCATTGTCCCAAATATAGGATGAAGTCACAATAGAAACATATAGAAAGAAAAAAAAAGAATTGTAGGTTTAAATAGGTTCAGATCATGGCTTGTGGGTAAAGATGGGGCAATAAAAAAAAGTTCAAACTTTATAGAAATATTTAAACTTTTCTAAGAACATCAAGGCCATTATTTGTAATCAGTCTTGGACCACAGTGCAATAAACTGAAATAGCTTAAATCATGGGCTTAAAGTTGGTGACCACAGTGAGTATTGTGGTTCATTGGTCTTGCTTAAATTTTGCATCTGTTTAATTGCTTGTAGGTTTGGCCTTAACCCACAGTGCAATAAACTGAAATAGCTTAAATCATGGGCTTAAAGTTGGTGACCACAGTGAGTATTGTGGTTCATTGGTCTTGCTTAAATTTTGCATCTGTTTAATTGCTTGTAGGTTTGGCCTTAACCCCAGATGGACAGTTGGTGACCTTAGATACACAGCGGATCAACCCAAGAGTGATCATCTTAGCTTCAGATGGAAGATCAAGGAATTCATTTCTTTTTGCACCCCTTCTTCATCCCCAGACACCTCCTTCCTCCAAATGTAGGTTTTTGGCAATTCACAAGGACAGGCTCATCGTCAGTGATTTAGGTATGTAATAATAAGAATGTAAATTTTGAGGATAAATTGTAGTTTACTTAAATCCTTGTGCAGGATGTATTTTTTTTTTTTTGGTAGTGGTTTTGATTTTTATTTCAATAGCCCTGGTTTTGTAAATTATATTTTATAAGTATTTGCTGGTATTTCAGAATGATAATTTTATTTACTTTATGTTTTAAGTTGTTACTTACGTAAAACCCCTTAAGGTCACACAAGATGAAACACTTCCTTTAAGTTTGGCTTAATGGTGGCTTATAAGTCCTTAATGATGGTTTAATGGTTGTCTTTAAGTCACCATTAAGCACCTTTAAGCTACATTTAAGTAATAAATACACCACCATTAAGTAACCATTAAGCCATCTCAAAGTCCTTAATGGATGCTTAAAGGTAGCTCAATGGTGGCTTAATGGTGGCTTATAGGTGCTTAATGGTAGCTTCTAGACAATCATTAAGTCACCATTAAGCCACCATTAAGCCAGACTTATAGGTGCTTAATGTCCAAACTCCATTAAGCTACCATTAAACCACCTTTAAGCCACCATTAAGTCACCATTACGCAGTCGATAAAACTGCTTTTACGGGTTAAATATTATTTTTATAATGATTTCTTCACAAAAATTATAAATGTCAAGTTTATACATTTGTTAATTCAGTGAAAATAATGTAAAAGAAAGAAAATAAAAAAAAAATAAATGAAAAAAAAAAAGCATTCCCAACATGGTTCGATCCCACGACCTTCAGATTGGAGGGCGAACGCCTTACCTAATGAGCTATCGAAGCTGTTGAAATTGGAGTGAAATATAAAACTTTTATTTTTAACAAAACTTGTTTGGAATGGTTACAGGTACCGTACATGTATTTTTTTTTCTGATGTTTATATTTATTAATCAATAATACGAATAATTATATTTATATATATGTATATATTTTAAAAAGGAAATTTTGATAAAGTTTTATATTACGTTAATATTTCTTAACCGTGGACCGGAGTTCGGTGTGATGGTGTGAAACAACTTTTTGATTTTTAAGTAACTGAATTCCTTGTTCTGTTATTCGCCGATTTATAAGCATGAAAAGATTGAAATTCCACAGATACAACAAAATTTTGTTATTAAAAAGGAATATATCATCGAAAGAGAACGATTGGGGAAAAAAAAAATTATAGTTCTTATAAATATGCTGCGGATATTTACGATTTTTGACAATCTTTGCGTAACAATTAAGTTATAAAATATTTTTGTAACATATCTTCAGTTTTAATTCTTTTTATATCATTATGGGTATCAAAATAATTGTCTTTTTGTGTACAATCATAATTTCTAATTTGTTATATGCTTGCGTAAATTTTAAGTTTTGTAAAAAATAGATCATCAAAATCTATCACTGTACGTTCCCGTGTATAGTTTCCTGTTAATTGACCGGGGACACCTAATTAAGGTCTATTGTCTAACTAGTCGATATACTGTACACTGATTATTTTACCCCGCTTCTCAATGTGTATAAATCTGGTCGGATACCCTGTTTAATCTGATCGGCTGTTCTTCTGAAAATTGATTTTGAAATAACAATCATTGAAGACCGACTATATTTTGATCAATTTTTACTTCTGCATTATTTTAAATAAATTCTTACTTCTGCATTATCTTAAATAAATTCTTACTTCTGCAGTATTTTAAAAGAAAGGAAAAAATAATGGCACTTAACCACGAATTAATTCAAATTATTCATGAATTAATTCAAAGATTGGCAATATAATCTATACCTATATATTTTTTTTATATCTTAAACTTTTCTCTACCCAAAGAAAAATTAAGAGACAGAGATATTCCAGAAAAAATGACTCTAATTACATTTCCTCTGAATTCGGCAGTGGAACGTGGCTCTCCAAACACGAAAGAAAAATATGTGATTTTTTTTTTTAAAATAATATATATTATGTATTTATGGATAAAAATAATTTTAAAACAAGTATTCAAACAAACTGATTTTAGGGAGCGAAAATTTTAAGGCATTTGTTGAAGCTGTTCTCAGTTCCCGAGTTTATACGCATTGACAAAGATGTTGGAAATAGCGAGAAAAAAATTATGAATTGAATAAGTATTTGCGGAAATGATACTGAAACAACTTCAAACTTAACAAGTTAGTTTAAAGACTTGATACTGGATGCGTTAAGGTGGTTTAATTAAGTTTGGACATTAAGTCACCATTAAGCTGCAGCTTAAAGGTTGCTTAATGGTAGCTTAATGAAGTTTGGACATTAAGCACCTAGAAGCTGCAGCTTAATGGTTGCTTAATGGTGGCTTAAAGGAATTAACTTCTATAAGCCACCATTAAGCTACCATTAAGCCACCATTAAGCGATTGCTTAAAGATGGTCTTTCGTCCTGTGTCAAGATCTAGTCAATGCAAGGTGCCTACAGATTTCTCAAATTTGAGAAATAAGTTCCATTGATGATGCTTCATCACTGTATATTGCAGTATGTGCATATACCAGATAAAAAAATTTGTGGACACTTAATTTGATATACTATTTGACCTTTCACTTTCGATCATGCTATAGAGATGGTAAATTACTAAGGGTGCAAGTTTATTCATTGAGGGTTCAAATGGTCAAGGTTACAAAGAGGGTATCTCTTTTAAAGTACCATATGATTTTTTATTAGCTCACCTGAGCCAAAGGCTCAAGTGAGCTTTTCTGATCGAAATTTGTCCGTTGTCTGTCGGCGTTGTCGGCGGTGTAAACTTTTCACAATTTCATCTTCTTCTCCAGAACCACTGGGCCAATTTCAACCAAACTTCCCACAAAGCATCCATGGGTGAAGGGGATTCAAGTTTGTTCAAATGAAGGGCCATGCCCTCTTTCAAGGGGAGATAATAGAGAATTGGTGAAAAATTAATAGCATCTTTTAAAAGTCTTCTTCTCAAGAGGGCAGGGCCAGGAAAGATGAAACTCATGTGGAAGCATCCTCAGGTAGTGTAGATTCAAGTTTGTTCCAATCATGACCCCCGGGGGTAGGGCGGGGCCACAATGGAGGATCAAAGTTTTACATAGAAATATATAGGAAAAACCTTTAAAAATCTTCTCAAGAACAGCAAAGCCATGATGAGTCATATTTATATGAAAGCATCCTCAGGTAGTGTAGATTCAAATTTGTTCAAATCATGACCCCCGGGGGGTAGGGTGGGTCCACAATGGAGGATCAAAGTTTTACATAGAAATATATAGGTAAAACCTTTAAAAATCTTCTTCTCAAGAAAAGCAAAGCCATGATGAGTCATATTTATATGGAAGCATCCTCAGGTAGTGTAGATTCTATTTTGTTCAAATCATGACCCCCGGGGGGTAGGGTGGGGCCACAATGGAGGATCAAAGTCTTAAATAGAAATATATAGGAAAATATCTTCTGAAGAACTGCAAAGCCATGACAAGTCATAATGATATGGAAGCATCCTCAGGTATAGTGTAAATTCAATTTTGTATAAATGATGACCCCCGGGGCAGTGGCAGATCCAGGAATATCGTAACGGGATGGGAGTAGAGGCAGTGGGTCTGGGGGCTGCATTGAAGCCCCCAGTGGGTCTAGAGCAAGGCCTTGGTGGGGGTCTGGGAAGCTGACAAATTCTTACAAAGAAGAGATGTTTTTCCTTGATTTTAGGATAATGGACATATAAGTTCTACAAAAAAAATTCAAATGGGGGCACACGCCCGGCGCGCTGGCCCTGGATCCGTCTTTGTGGGGGTAGGGTGGGGCCCAGTGGGGGATCGAAAGTTTTACATAAGAACATATAGAATAAAAAAATTTCTTCTCAAGAACAGAAGAACTATGTTTAGTCATAGTGATATGGAAGCATCCTCAGATAGTGTAGATTCAAGTTTGTTCAAATGATGACCCCTGGGATAGGGAGGAGCCACAATGGGGGATCAAATATTTACAAAGGAATATGGGAAATTTTTTTTAATCCTTATCAAGTACAACAAAGCCATTTGTTAAATTGACATGGAAGGTAGTTTAAAATTCAAGCCCCCCACCCCCGGTAATCTTTACTGAACTGATTTGTGCTTTTGCCTAGCCAATGTGCTCAGGTGAGCGATGTGGCCCATGGGCCTCTTGTTTTCAAACTTGCTAAAGAAGTGTGAAGTGATCAGAGGGACATGCACATTTATTTGAGGGACAAAAAGTCAGAGGTCAACATTACTTGAGTCTTTAACACTGTTGAGGAGAGAAAGTTGAGAAATTTCAGTCTCAAACTGCTTACAGAGATAGTGTCTGACCAGGGGTATTACCGGTAGTTATTCATTTTGGAGTCCAAAGGTCAAGATCAAAGTAGCAAAGGGTTGCAATGAAAATGCAGGAGATAATCAAAGGTTGACATGCATGCACATTATTGCTTCAGTAGCAAAATTTTTAGCATTTTTTTCTTTTTAAAGGTTGCCATTGTGTGTACATAACAGATAATTGTGGAGAGACATTGTTTAAGTTTGGGGAGTTTGGAGCGAATCTTGGAGAGTTCAGGGAACCCTCTGGTGTAACAACGGATCAGCAGGGACACATGCTTATAGGTGACAGCAAAAACAACAGAATCCAGGTACATGAGATTTGTTTGTAGTTGCTGATTTCTACTTTTCTGATGTATTGAACGTGCAATGCTCAACCCCCTTCATCAAATTCCAGGGACTTGGTTTATATATGTCCTTTTAAACCTTTGATTATAATAAGACAACATGCTTAAGGACATACGCAATGTACCTTACCTAATGATAATTTTTCAAGATATTCTTACTTTAAGAATGTAGTGCCATCAGATGTTCGTAGACAAAAAATCAGCATGCATTACCTGGGGTTTTGAAAAAATATCCATTGATGACAACTCTTGTATAATTCAAAGAAAAATATACCAAAATTACTAAACATATATTCTAGATGTTTTGTTTATCCAAACTTGTTTTAGAAGTGTACAACAGCATATATAGATATTAAAATGTAACACACAGTTCCTTAAAGGTTTGGAACTCTTCAACTTCAGGGAAAAAGACAATAAAGTTTAAACTATGTTGCATATGTCCTTAATAACTTAAATCTGTCTGCAGTAAAACAGAATAAAGAGTTGTTCAAAATATAATTTTGGAACTCTTAGATATGAATTATGAAAACTTGTGTGTGAGCTTGAAGGGAAGTAATTATCTTGATGTAGTAATGCACCAGTATTTTTGAACATATCTCTTCATATATGAAAGCTTATGTAGATTTCACTAGGGCTGGGACAATACAACTTTTTCTATATCGATATGTATCACAATATATGAGCCATGATATGCATCCCGATATTTTGAATGGGTTATAAAATCTTTTTTTTTTTTTTTTTGTTTTTTGTATTAAAACAAAACACTTCTTCACCAAAAAGAATAATTCATTCAAAGAAGTTGTATATCTGTTGTAAAACAAAATTATTTTACACAAGTGGTGTTAAATTCCTGTGTATTTCATATTTATATTTAGCATATTTATGTTATATATTAAACCCAAAATGTTAAGTAAACAAAGAAAAACATAAGAATTTTTGGGGTGATATTTCTTCATACTATCGATATGTGTATAGTCCTCACACAGAATTGATATATCGTCTTAGCCCTAGATTCCAACTTGCCCATTTACTGTTGACTTCCGTTAAATACATGTATACGTTTCTACAGAATGTCGAGTTCAAAATCAAGATGACATTGTGAGCTTAGTATGTTCTAAATGGTGAAAAAAAATTGACAGTTATGTGTAAATGAAATGTAAAGTGTTGGTTATTTGATATATTTCTCAATAATGCTAATATTTACAGATTTTCAAACCCAATGGAACTTTCCTGTGTGACATCAAATTTGACCAGCCCATACAACGACCTTCAGACATACACTTAACAAAGGATGGAAAACTCTACGTAACCAACTTCCTTCAACACCAAGTGTTTGTCTTCCAGCTGGGACAGAAATAAAGTGATTTCAAAGATTGAAAAGTGGAGAGAGCAAGTTCAAAATGTATAATCTGAGACTCAAGTTATTATCGTGAAACTTGTTGAATAATGTCAAGTGGATATTGATAAGCTGATAACAGCAAATTAAAATGAGGTTACTTCCTTGACATTTGATAGTTTTATCTCTGGATTGTCACTCAGTCAAACGTCTCATCAATTCGGAAATAAAACCAAATCCAGTTTAATGGGTTAATTTTGAAACAGATTAAATTAGGAGGATGTATGTTTCGAGTTTTTCATTACTATTCAATTATTCCACTATAAAGAACAAAGCAATGCCTTGTTAAATGAAATTTTAGATATGTCAAACTTCTGGCTAATTTTCATTCAAGAAGAAATATGTAACACCTACTTAACATTACAAAGAAAATATTATTGAGAATATAAATATTCATTAGATACTGTGTCAGATTTAACTGTAACGCATTCATTTTGGAATTTTTTGTTGTAATAATTCAAGTATTTTGAAAGCAAGTATGGTGACTGTGTATCCTGCAATAACATTTCTGCAGCATGTACACGACATTACAAAGTTTCGTTCCCCATTTTCCTGTTGATATCCTGTACCTTTTGAACAATGTATATATTATGCACAGTTTTCCTGGATTGGTAGAATATACTATTTTTTTTCTGAAAGATGATCAATTTTCACATATTTGTTGGTCACTATTGTACAGTGTATCTAGTCCATGTTTTTTGACAGTTTGAACAGGGGTGTGCAATTAGCATCGCCCGACGCCCGGGGCTACCATTTTTTTGCGTCGGGCTAGTAGTTTTCTGCACAGAGGTAGCCCCTTGGGCTAGTAAAAATTAAAACTACCATTGTAATACATGGAAATTACTATCGGTATTTTCACTCACTATTTGCTATTAAATTCTCAAAAAATGAAAAAAATTTTGGCAGCATGTTCGTACTCTTCGTTAATCTCCATAATCTTATCCATTTTGCAGTGCTACCTGACTTATTTACTTCCAAAAACGATCGTTTTTATTTTATCCGAATTTCCTCTATTCCTCTGCTTATGGTAAATACACATGCAGATATCTCATTAAATTATTTACGATCACTCAATCCACTGAAAGATAAGTGTTATGTGGTTTACATAAAATATATTTCCAGCGTATTTAATGATTAATTAAATAATCATTAAATAATCAATTAATTAAGATGAGAAAATGATTTTCATTTCATTGTAGATAAGATAATTTATTTATTATTCATTTTTATTTTCTATCATAATTATTAATTTATACGTGATTTAATTTTACTAGTGAGAATTAAACTTTAATTTTAAAAAGAATTAATAACATTAAAACCCTGACTTTTTCAACAATAAACAGTTTTCTGTTAACCCCCCCCCCCCTTTACATTTGGGCTAGTAACTTTTTACTTGGGGCTAGTAACTTTATTGCTGCCACTAGCCCGTGGGCTAGTACTTAATTTTTTTAATTGCACACCCCTGGTTTGTATTTTCAGATATGTTAATTTTTTTTTCTGTCATAACAAACATTTGCATTTGAGAGCTGTGCTCCCAACTAGTCAAAGTTCTCATATGGTTTTTTTTTCTTTCCTTATTTCATTATGTTTTTGGATTTTAAAAAAGTAAAGCTTTAAAGATATGTTTCATTTATGGACCATATGTTAATAAACTTTAACTTTCCACCATGACTTGTTTTAATTCCTACTGCTTCTATAGAAATATAAAATCATAAATCACTAAATGTGACAAAGGGAATAAAATCACTTTAATAATGATTTTTTTTTGTTATTCCACAAACATAATTAACAACTTAGACTTCTATGTAGTTGTACACATTTTATTAATACTGACTAGTATAAATATTTTCAAAAAAAGTTCATTGCAAAGAGGGGGGGGGGGGGTACAGGCAAATACCACTGATTCTGTTATCAGTGGAAAAGTAAGTGCTTTAATACTCAGAACTTAGATAAAATTTGACACAGTTAATATTTCTAAATGTACACATTTTTTGTGATTCTTGAAGTTCAGTATTTTTTTATGAATATACATGTACATATATATCCATATAATTATTAGGGATTCAGTGTATAAATATAAACAATTTCATAAGAGATGTCAATGTAAAAGTTATCATAAATAATATTGTAAAAAGTACATACATTTTACTAGTCTTTCAAAGTTAAAATTGTAAAAAAAAAAAAAAATAATAATAATATGTTTCAACAATTTCAAATTCATATCATTGTTATAAAAAAGATTATTCATAAAAAATCGAATTTCATGCACTTCTTCAGTTCAAATTGTTCATTATTTTAAAAGTTCATATCTATACCTAATACACAGATATTCTTTCACCCCTGTTTGATGATTTCAATAAGTTGTTTAACTTCATCTAAATCCTCTTTATTATATCGCGACAGGTACCTGGGGTCGAAATCTACAAGTTCTTGATTTGATACGTCTTCATCCCCTTTAAGATTTCTCTCCCAGCGGGACCCTATCATGTCCACAAGACTCTCCTCTAAGTATCGGGGTTCCATGCGCCCCTCCTTGAAGTACTGAGGGTGGTGGGGCTCGTGGTCATAATGGTGCTGAAGAGCTTTCTTCCAAGAGTCATTGTCACTCCCGTGCACCCACCTGGCAGTGTAGCCCACACCCTGGGCCACTGTGTACTTGGTTAAATCGTGACGTTCCGCGTCTTCAGATGTCATGTGTTTTAAATATTTTTGCACCCTGAGATAAGCTTTTTTCACGAATTTGCGGTGAGAACATACCTGGCTGAAGTGTTCTTTCATGTTGAATTCGTCGATAAATAATTTATAGTATATGCTGTCTTTCTGGTGGGCAGTCACTGCTTGTTCGGCGGCGTCCCGTAAAGTAGGGTTGACCGATATTATTTTGTCCCATGCATATGATACAGCTTCTGCAAAACCTTTTTCTTCATGCACTTTCATAACTTCATCTTTTTTGTCAGGCCCCACTGTTTGCACGAGTAGATCAAGATTTGCTGCCATCGTACAAAGCTTTACGATTGAATTGCTACGCGATGTTTATATAAATAGACTCGAGAAATTTTCAGTAAAAATCCCTCGGCTATTTATAGACGTAAACAACCTCCCACGTGCTTGTTAAAATTTTTGTAGATAATTTTTATGTAATTTTGCTGCAATAAGTGGAATGCAGGGGTTAGGTCGGCTATTTCCTTAATACACACATATATGTATATGACTTAATACACACACATATACGCACACACATATGACTCCATATTATGTGTTCTAAAAGGGGGGGGGGGGGTCCAAGGTCATTATTGGTTGCTTTACTACATATAAATTTAATAACTGTAAATCCCAAAAGGGAGGTTCTGGTCCCCATTTAGATCCGCGAATGTCACGTGCTTCATCTAAATACATGTGCGGTATATTTTCACACATTTTTAAAATATGTGGGACAGGAGTAGGTGCAGCAATTTTTTTAAGCAATATGAGTTGCATTTTTAAGAATTTAATTTTGCTGTTAAAATGTGCTATTTTGATAGATTCTTATGTAATTTGAACCTTTTTGATTATTTTGACTTAAATAAAGTTTTGAATTGTTTCAGAAGAAAGACTTCTGTACAATCGAATATATAGGGTTATATAAGGAATCAATATTGTACAGGACGACAATATTTATATTCTGCGTTAATCAAAGCTTATAAATAGTTCTTCCATCGCAAATATGAACAACAGAAGTTTATAAACTTTCTTTATTCCTTTCATTGAAATAGTTAATTACAATGTTGCAAGAAAAACCGACATCAAAGTTGCAGCTCATATTGCTTTAATTTTCACGTATATTGTTTTTCATTTGCATTTATGTTGAAATAGATCTTGGAAGAATTAACGATTGCACTTCACTGGGGGAGTGTTAAGTAACTGTATTTTGCAATGTACCAAATTATGATAAGGATGGCATGATCAGTTACGATTTCGCAATAGGATGTGTCTAATCTCTGAAAATTTTCGATGCCTTTTCCAAGGAGTGGGTTAATACTTTCTTTTCTTTCTATAAATCCCTTATCATTTTTGTAAATTGATGGGGAGTTGTCGATGAAAGGTTATAGAAGGTAACGATTTGTCAACGAATGTCATCGACAAGTCTGAAAAGACAGAGTACAGTAGAAATTCTCATTTCATTTTGTACAATGCTGTTATGGTTATGGATTGGAAGACCTGTTATTATGAAAGCGTTCCTTGATTTTTTTACATCTTAAAAAAATCAAACACATCTAAATTAAGCAATTATATCAGCGGTATACAGATTTAAAATTGATACTTTAAGGCGACGAAAAGAAAAACATTTACAAAGAATTAAATGAATACATTTTTTTTTATTTTGTTCGTCACTCATGTGATGACATTAGCTTAACAGAAGAAATATATATAAACAGAAAATTATAATGATAAAAAAAGGAATAAACATTTATTTGTTAATTGTTGTGATTTAGAATACATTCATGACAAGCCTTTACTCAAGTATGTTTTTTTTTACGATAGTCAGTCAGTGAAGTTTTAATTCACAGCCGCTATAAAAAAGATAATAAAGACAAGAAAAAGTCTCCATGTCTTATTAATTCAGTATCTGGTTACTTCTGACATACAGTCATAATACATGTATGTATAAAATAAACATTTACAGTTATCAAATTATTAGCTCACCCGATCCTGATGCTAAAAGTAGGAAAATGCGTTCACTATAGAGGCCTATATCCATGTCTTACATAAACCAGGGATCTTGCTGTCATTTAAAGTTGGGCTAAAGTAAAATTGTTATTTAGAAAAATTCTGCCTTTTCCAGAGAGGTGGTAACAAATTGAAACAATTTACTGGCTTTGTTATAATTTGTGTCATAACGTATTTAAGGACTTCAAACGACAATATCTTGCTTTCAACCTTTAAAAAAGCATTTTGGGAGAGAGGCCCGGGGTTACAAACGTATTTATGGACAGACATTCAAGGATACTTTCTAGCAAATTTAGCTAATTATAGGCCAAGTTCTAGTAAATTGAACGAAACACAAATGAACAACGGACATCAAAAGAATATTTTTAAAATACGATCAAATCTTACACAGAGACAAGCTACTGACAAATAAGTTGATGTTACAAGGATTTCAACGTTTAACGTCAACTTTTTGCAATTCTACGGTCGATATAATGACCTTGTTTGTAAACACACCCATCGTTGGGTCGTATTTTGTCTGATATTGTAAGGTTAATGCTTTTATACTAAATTTGACAACGGAATACTCAGTCTACCTGATCAGTGCATGGGGCTTGCGGCGGGTGTGACCTGTCGAAAGGGAATGCTTACTCCTCCTAGTTTTGTCATGATAAGGATTTGTTTTGGCTACTGTATTTATGAGATTGATCACTGTTTTATATCTTCACTTTTTACATTATAAAGAAAACTGCAGTACATGTATATATGCAAAACTCAACAAGATATGTTTCATAAACACAGATGCCCCGAGAGAGACCATATCTAACGATGAACAGACTTTGCTGCCAGTGACGTTGAATGTGCCCAAATGACCTTGAATGAAGGTCTTTACACAGCCTAACCTCGATCATAATAAATCTCTGACAAGAATGAGATTCCAATAAATCTCCATTACAAGATATGGCCAGGAAAGGAATCGAACTTTTTTTTTAAAAGATGGCTGAACTTGCCAAAATAACTTTGATTCAAGATCATGTTAGCAAGTTGTCTAAAGTAATCTGTGATCCTATGAAGTATCAATTTCCAGTGTTTTGCCATTCTGAGTTATGTACAGGACAGAAATTATACATTATTCAGAAATAATCTTGAAGAAACGACCTTGGGTCAAGGTTATTATACACGATCAGGTCATAAGCAATGTTTATATGAACTTCCAATATTTCTCCAATAGAAAGTTGTGTACCAGACACGAACTTAACACTTCATTTTACCTGAAACATTGAGCACAACCAAAAATACCTTAGGTCAAGACTAAGACTCGTCTTTAGGTCATGATAATCTTTATGTAGATCGAGTATCATCTTCCAATATTTCTCCATTAGAGAGTTATCGATCAGACTTGATGACCTTGCACTTGACAAAATATCTTTGGGTCAAAGTCATGCCTCTGGTCCTAAGCAATATTTCTTTCAATATTCATATTTGATCAATTTTTTTTTTCAGTAGACAGATATGGGCCGGGCATGAATTATGAACTTCTTTCTGCCAGTGGCAGGGAATTAATTCACACTCTCTTGCCAGTGAATTTGAACTTGAGCAAAAGTCAAGACACATTCTCGGGACTTGAGTATGAGTTTTCAGTGGTTCTTTTCAAAGTTATAACCCTGACACGATCGCACAGACAAACGAACAAGATGATTGCTAAACATTAAAATTCTTATATATTTCCTTTAAAAATTCAAATATAAAGTCACTTATTTAAATGGTACAAAAAGAAACAACACCCTTCCCTGATCATAAAATTCCCGGGTCATAAAAATGGGGTTTACCTCCCCGAATTTACACATCTGATCCTGCGTCTATGCCAGAGCTACTGACGAATTCATGATACAAGTGCTTTTATTATTTTTTAAATACTATTTTGTCTCTCTTTCAAACATTAGATCCATTTTTACTCTCTTGGTAACATATATAAAAATATCTTTTAAGATTTTAAACTTTCAAAAAAAAGAAAGAACAACAACACAAAAAAACATTGTTTCAGACAATATAAAATTTGTACAGCGAATGGAACCTTCCTTGGATATTGTCAGATGTGCTTCCATAAATAACGATGGTTTCCCCGGATTGGGGGGTCTGGACTGTTCCTTCCCATGTACCATTCTCGTCACACTCCATCGGAATATTCTCAACATTAACCTGTCTGAGGTGGGGGGAAGACAAACGAATCCTAACCTTTGATTTGGCGGGAAGCTCTCGCGAATTAGGCTCGTGCAAAGTGCACTGATACGTCTGCGCATGTGTATAGACGTATGGGAGGGACTTGACATAGTTGTTGGAGTCCGTGCATTTCAAAATATACCTCAGGAGAAGCTTTGGTGGGTGTGAGAAGGCATCGTCCCGCTGACCAAATATTCTGAGTACATAGGTTCCCGGGGATGGAGGTCTGCACTGTATGCTGAACGTCAGAGTGTCGAATCGATATACAACCGTATACTGGTCCATTTTAACTCTATCCACTGTTTCCATGGTTGCAGTGATGTTGCGAACGAGTACGCTGGCTCCCAAAGTAATGTGAATTTCTTTTCTGAAGATTAAGATGGGTTCTTTGTGAGATAAATCTATCCCCCATTCCTTACATACTTCTTCCATTTTTACCATTTTGTTGTACTCATCCAGAGAGATCGGTTGTTTCAGCAGCTGCCAGTTGTTGCTAATTTTAGTGTCAGTGCTCGTCCATGGATAGTGATCATTAATGAACTTATCAGGATCTGTTAAGAACCAGAATTCCTCAAACTTTGGATTCCAACGGCCTTCTTCGTCTTCCCAGCCTGCACCCCAACAACAATCGACAAATCGCCAATCATCCTCAACGAAAACGGCGTTCCATGCATGGTCGGGTTTGTCACGTGGTGTATAAGGAATTTCTGGATCGTAATCAGATCGTTTGGCAAACCCTGAGAGTGTAACTACTGGAACACCAGCACCCCTGCATAAATATATTTTATTTTCAAATAAAAACTGGTTTTGGTAATTTGGTCACTTTATTCGTATTTGTTAAATCATACATATCGTGTTAATGTGTTGCTTAAAATAGACATGTGATATTCGATCTAATTTACTCGAGCACCCTTTATTGCAGTGAGCTTTTGAATTTTTAATCATATTGTAATCATTTTTCATACTTGCACATTGTTGCAAAGAGGTTTGCATAGCCTTCGGAGTTGGCACATCTTCTCCTCAATACTGTACTAGGGTCTGAGAGTGTGACTCCCCCGCCCATGGTGTTCGATATCTCGTAACTAAAAATAGTACAGAGGTATTGATCATTAGAGAAGATTGATAGAGTTAGGGGGAGGGAGTATCTTTGAGGCATGCGAATTTACATTTACCCGTGTAGATTGTAAATGAATCGCTCTGTATAGTCGTTGGATACATTACCTGATGTTGGCTGTTATCCATCTATAGAAGGCTCGGACTTTCTCTACATCTGTCTCCGCAATGGCTACTAGATATTTTATCAGACTTTTAACGGATTTTGTTGCACTTGAAGGAGCCTAAATATAAAAGATACCTCATGTTATATTTATAAAACAATACAAAACAAACAAACAAAATTAAACAAAAAAGAACGCACTTCAGATTGTCATATGGATCACATGGAGTATATATAATATATTAATATATATACATGCCATACTATTATATAAGTACATATTTTACTTGTGAACTGGCGTCTGTTTAAAATCTGACTCTGGAAAGCAACAGTGTATTGAGTTGCTGACCCCCCACCCCCCACACACACACTTTTTAATTCAAGGGCTGTATTATTGACTTTTTTTTAAACCGACCTCTTGACTTTTTTGCATTTGGGAACTTAACATAAAAACTATATTTTTCGTGGATCTCTCAACAAATCATCCGCTGAATGCGACAAAATAATGCATCAAAAAATTCATTAATTTTGATCATTAAAAGACTAAAGGTGCACAAATTAAATATCTACCGGTAGTTATATATAGTGTATGAAATAAATACATTTAAGCATTTTTTGAGGTTGGGGGGGGGGGGGGGTGGGTGGGGGGGTGGGGGTCAGAGCCGATCAGAAATTCATCAGACAATACTAGTATTACTGAGGACACACAACCATATATTGTTATTTCCTACTGTTCAGTAAATATCGGCAATACTATTGGCGGGGGGGGGGGGGGTAAATTAAGGATTCCGTCCTTTAGACACTCAGATATTTAGGGTACATCAAACCCTGATTCAGAGCCTGAATGACCTTACATGTAAAGCATGGTTATCTATTTCTTCAAATTTCCTCAGGTCCTTTTCTTTGATAATATCTTTCTTCTTGAAGCCTGGAACTTTGAGGTTTGGCACAGGTCTACTTTTGAGACGACCCTGATTTCCTTGTCCACAAAAGAACCCAACAACGTCACCGCTAGCAACGTCAGCTGACGTAATGTACACCTCGACGGAAGGGCGATTACCCATTGGTGCTTTTTTCACATCTGCAAATTTATTGATTCATTCAATCAAATATAATAAAGACATTAACTTTTCAATATTTCCATTACTAGCATTTAAAAACATTAATGAAAGCGGTTAAACGTGACTCTAATGTCAATATGGTTTGAAGGTTTTAGCGTTTTTTTTTTTTTTTTTTTTTTTTTTTTTTTTTTTTTTTTTTTTTTTTACAAAATTGTACACTGTTTCAAAAACATTCCAAGAATTTAATTGACCATCAACCGTTATTGAGGTCAAACCCATCATTTTTTTCTTAAAACACCTCTATGTATGAACACCTACACACTGTTACGATAGCTACACTATCGTAAGTATCGGAAGTTTCAAAATGCACCAAATATATGACTGTACTTCCATAGATGGCTTTGTTATGACTTCATCACGCGTCAATATATATCTTTTTATTTTCACCACACAGAAAAGTCTAGTTAGTAAACCTAACTTTGTGTTGCTAATGCAATGTTTCATTAATAAGTTCTTATAAAGAGCAAGGTTTTCATGTCAAAAAGACACTTTAGATTAATAAGAAAATTCTGTATTTTAAGTACTAAGAATAGACCTCCAATTTTCCGTTTTGTAGTAAAATATAAACAAGAATACATATTAAAATTGTGGAATATAAGCACTTTGACAATGCACACACACACACACACACACCCTCACACACACACCCCCTCACCCTCACACACACAAAAGACACACAAACAAATTTACACTGAAAGTCTTTCCTTTCTGACCAAACTTTTTTAACAGTAACTGATTCAAAATTAACTGCATCCTTCTTTCAGGTACACTAATGTTTCTTAATATTTAAAGCATCTCTTTAATATTACAACAAACATTTAATATCTCAAAAAGTAAAAGTTGATAGAAAACATGTACTCCGAGTTCTGCTTCTTCGTGTCGATCTTGGTTTTTTCATTAAAAAAAATGTACATGCCATAACTTTTTCTTATCTTTTACTCTAAGCTGATTATATTTGAGATGAGGGTATCGTGAGAGGATGTAATAAACACTCATCAACTCGAAATTACCCTGAACGTTGAATTATATTGAAAGGGTATAAATGCGTTTTAATTTACTACAAAATTACTGTTTTATAAGAAACTAGACTTAATTTTTTTTCTTCTAAGTTAAAACAAAGACCAGTGACGTAGCTGGGTATACTCCTGAATGCCCAGGCTTTAAGGGAAAAAAAAAAGACCAATAGGAGACTACTATCCCCGACCGCACCTCACCAAATGACTCTGAAGGGTACAATTATAGTTTTAATGTTAGCGCCCATCAAGTAAACTGAAAAGGATAGTAGGACAATACAAACGTTTGAACACTATTGAAATGTACCAAAATTTTTGTATTTGTAAAAATACTAAGTATAAGATTTAAATTTACAAGAAGTAATTGTCAATGTACAAAATTCAAAAATCCTCTAAGTGATAAAAAAAAAATTTCTGAAGAAAAAAAAATGAAAATCCACACAAATATTTTAGGATCGATTCATTATCTTGCTATTTCCCTGAGAAATTCGTTGAATTTGCTTGGTATCAGCTCTTTGCAGGAAGTTCGTTATTCACACATCACGGAAACATATTGAAAAATACACTTTTTTAAATAAAACTTTTCCTGAAAAGTTATTTATTTGAACGTATATGACTCAAAATAGATTTCATACGAACCACTTCGTTTTTGACATTAATGGCGGCCTCAGACTGGTAACCACTGAGAACGGTTACACCTGAAGACTATGTTCATTGTTTTAGTTCTGAATGTAAAGAATTAAATATCAAATATCTTTAAACAATCAGTTTCTCCCTTTAAAAGCAATACAACCGATATATATTTTGTCATGGTGGGCGGATCACAAAACGTGAGGAATATGTGGATTAATGTCATTATATAGCAAGGGGCGGTTTGTGTTTAACTTTCTCCCCTTTCCTTGTGGTAACCTACGGTGCATTTTAATTTTTTGTTTCCCTAGCTTCTTCCTTTTTAAATTTATATCTGCGAAGCGTGAGATTAAGAATTACATTTATATTCGAACTACTAGTATACAATGTGTTTAATAACACCAGATACACAAATAACAGACACATCACATTTATTTATGTCTCTTTGCTCACACGCGGTAATTTACAGAAGGAACTTTTCAACCTACAAACTTAGAAGTCGGTGTAGCTCGTACGTACTCCTGTACGCATAGTCGTCCCCAGTTTTGAGAGAGAGAGAGTGACCAAGAAAGAAAAGAAACTACAGTATACTAACTATACACAGAATAAAGTTCCCGTCACAACAGGCATGTAGTAATTATCGCGGAAAGGAGGGGGGGGGATATTTGCATTGCATGAAAGACCCCTTCCAATCCTCACCCTCCCTATAAAATAGATTTTTTGAGTATGGACATTTTTCATATTTCGTTTCCTTGTCCAAATCTTTAAAGCACCTTTTTGCTCGTCGGATATGTCCCCCTCCCTCTTTCTTCCCTTGAAACGATCCTTCAGTGTTATCTTTGTCTTTATTATTTTTATTCCCGGGTGTTTGACGGGTTCAAACGTGGAATACATGTAATTGGTTTAATTTTGAAATGACATGTGACCAAATGTCAGTTTTGTATTTAAGATTTGAAACATGTGACTAGAAGACCAAAATATCATATGCTTTTGTAAATGTTTAAATTCCATTAGGTTTTGTACATGTATCTTGTAAACATGAAGAACAGGGTGTTTTTCTTTGTTTATTGTGCCGATAGAAACTGAGATCACAATCAGCAATGTCACGCCAAGCAATAACACAACGTATCATCTAAAAATGTCATAAATGTATCATGACACAATCGTACACGTGTCATATAAAGTAATAACACAACGTATCTTCTAAAAATGTCACAAATGTATCATGACACAATCGTACACGTGTCATATAAAGAAATAACACAACGTATCATCTAAAAATGTCACAAACGTATCATGACACAACCGTAAAATACAATTAAAATGTGATACATGATCTGATAGTATAATACAACCCACTGGTAATTAAAATGTGACCATGATATACATTTTATATGTTTCAAAACAAAATATACTACAAATGCAATGCCTGTAATTTATCCATCTTTAATAAAGGACAACCAATTGAAAGAATGATCACTAACAAAATTAAAACATTTAGCTTCTTCCTGAATGCATAAAAATATATGTATCTTAAAAGCACTAACTATGCTAAAATCTTAAAATATATTTTCTTAAATATAAAAATTCATGTAAATCTGCTTCTGGTGGTGAGATGTAGTATCATACAATTAAACATAGTATGCCAATCATACAATTAAACATAGTATGTCACTTATCACACACTAAATAACAATCCGGAAAAAAAACTGCTACTCTACTTTATCCAGCTGATCTAGGCAAGCTGCATTAAAATATCAATATAAAATTCAATAAACTTTGGTTGAATAAAATTTATAATACTATTAACAAAGCTAATCAGACATAAATCTAGTAATTAAAGCTTCTGCCGAGCAATACATGGTGCCTCTAGGACTAAATTTATCAAAATGTTATGAAACTTGTTATACTAATATTTTACTAAAATAACTGGTCAATTTACATTGTTTCAAAAACATCCAAAGAATTTAATTGACAATCAACAGTCAATAAGGTCAAACCCATCATTTGTTTTAACACCTTTATGCATGAACACCTTCCATCATTATAGGAAGAATTTTTAGCATCATGAACACACTGTATATAAAGCTAGACTATTGTAAAAATCGGAAGTTTCAAAATGCACCAAATATATGACTGTACCTCCCTAGATGGCTTTGTTCATCAGCTTGATTATGACTAGTTTTAAGTACAAGTCTATATCATTTACCTTCCTCACACATCAAAAATATATCTTTTTATTAAAGTTCTGGTTAGCAAACCTAACTTTGTCTTGCTAATGCAATGTATCATTAATAATTTCTTATAAAAAGCAAGGTTTTCATGGTCAAGAAGATACTTTAGATTAATTAAAAAAATCTATATATTAAGTACTAAGAATAGACCTCCAATTTTCTATTTTGTGATAAAATATATAAACAAGAAAACATATTAGAATTCGAATAAAAGCATTTAAGTGCACACTAAAAAAAAATTTACACCGATTCTGATTTTTTAACAGTAACTGATTCAATCTGCAACTTCATACTTCTGTTAGGTACATCGATGTTACCAAAGTTTAATATAACATCTTTTTCAAAGCATCTATTTAATTTTACAACAAACATTTAATATCTCCAAAAGCAAAATTATCACTTATATTTTCCATCAAAGTGTTCTTTATAAATGTTCTATTGTGAAAAACAAATATCACAGACACAGGTAACTGTATGGTGGTGTCCATAAACATTGAAACAAACAAGCACCTTCAAGTAACAAACAGAAATTAACAACACAATTATGTTTACTTCTCAAGCAAATGCATTTTAAATATAAATTCTGGTACTTCAAATTTTAACTTTTGCTCCATGATTTTGGTATGGTGTAAAAGATGGACATAGAAAAAAAATATTAAACCTGCTCATGAAATATTATGCCATCAATGTAATGCAGATGAGTAAACATTTCTGGTTTTCAGACAATATATGAGATCTCGAGCAGTACAAAACAAATCAACATAAACAATAATGTCGTAATTCACGGCTGAAGTGTTCACTCAGAATTCTCCTTCCACTCTTGGAAATCGCACTCTACAATGTACTCATATGTACATAAGCACAAAATATCTACTAACTGCATGTACTTCTCTTACATTTTTGATGCTGTGCATTATGTGAATAACATGTACGTGTTCTTTGGAAAATGCATGCTTCAAAAGCATTTAGCAGTCAATTTACACGGAAAGAAGTTCATCTCTGTCCAGTTATTCACCACTTTAACTGTGATCAAGCCTTATATTGTTGTGTAAGTACTGTTCAGACACAGTAATGTTGATCACATCTAGCTGAAATCACCAGTCATCTGAAGATATCACCTGTCTCTTCCAGTGGCAGTGGGTGGGGGTTTGTCAGCTTCATAGATCAATCTCAAGTTTATAAATGCAGACCTGTTTACAATGAATATAATTAAAGGTAGAATATCATAACATTTACCTGCATGCTTAATATTATAAACTTTTACTAATGATGTACTCAGCATTTTCTAAGGTTTTTAACTTTTTGTTTTGCAAAACATCATTAAGATTGAAACACTGCAATCTATCAATCAGGTACTGAAACAAATTACAATGTCATCGCCCACTAACCTCTTTAGATAGAGCCAGATGACAGTACCGAGGAGTTCTTTGATGATGATGACAGACATGTAGATGAGTATTATATAACAGGTATCGGAGATCAATTTTCTGATGTTGGTCAGGAAGGCATCCATTTGTATTTCTGCCACAGTGGAGTCGGACACATGGCCACTACAACACATTATTAAATGAGTATCATCTAAACATCTTTAAGATATGGGTCCAATATGACATGAACATTTATCAAACCAGTTTGATTAAATTTCTAAATCAAAGATTCTAAAAAGACAGCTGATGATCTCATAACTGCTGTACTGAACCCTTACTTTGAATAAAAATTAGGTTCAATTTGTTCAAAATGGCACACTTCTGTATCCTTGTCCCCAAATCTGGATTCCAAAGGCTCACTACATTTGGCATTTGGGTCCAGACTCTGCTTATATCTGCAGTAGAAGCCACTATGGGTTTCCTGAAGATGGCGCCACTGGCTCTCTATGGTGCGGTGTAAGTACAGATGGCGCTGTACATACATGTTCATTAACTCCTGATATGAGGGATACTCCATGGTGTTAATTCTGCTGGCCTGAGACTCAATCCTGCGGTTTACAAAGTCTTCATTCAGCTTCAGAAGATCATCCTAATGAATTAGAAGATAAAATGAATGACAATATACAGAAGTTTGCTCAGAGTGACAATTACTTGTACTGTGGAAAACAATGGGGACACTTACCATATTGTTGTAATACCCAAGGTAGCTAAATGTTTCCCTATTTACAAAATGGAATGTTGTAACAGAAATGAGATAGATGAACAGACACACAAAAATGGTGGCAATGACTTTTGGCACAAACATACTAGACAGCGTCTGAAAAAAATCAGTAAAACATTGATATAGTGGATACACTATAAATATAGCACATATATCTTTATAAGAAACTGAATTAGAGAGTTTCTTTTGCTTGTAAAATACATAAATTAAGCTGACCTTAATGAAGAATTTTTTGAATGTTTTTGAGGCTCCTGACTGGAAGATTTGGCTCTGTCTCCTAGCAGAACCATCAGGGTTTCTCTCATCTATAAATCAAAGATAATTTAAATGTATTCCAACAAGAACCCCAACCATGAAATATCAATGAAAAGAAATATGACACAAGACTAAAAAAATGATTCAAATATCTGATGGTTTTTACCATTTATTCTTAGCTGACTGTAAAGTTGTGTTAGCTTTGGTAACTTATCTACTGACCAATATCTAAAACTTTCAGGAACTCACTTGTTTTCTCCCTGATGCCCACAAATATTGGATACCCATACAACAGTAGCTTGGCCACCCCTAGAGACTTGAGGATCCGATGAAGGAACCAGATAATGTCAATCACAGCCATCACAAAAAAGAATCCAGAGTAACTGCTTGACTGGGGCTCTTTTTCTGTGGCATGACCCTGATCTGTTTGTGACCTTGTCTGGTTCTCTTTAGCTTTAAATGGATCATCAGCAAAGAACCACATGTTGTGTTTGTGGACAGTTCTCTCTGGCTTATTGAAGTTAACAGTGTCAGCTTGACTAGAGGAATGGGACCCTGAGTTGAAAACCTTGGACAGCCGTGGAGTTTGGGGAAGAGGGATGGACACATCATCTGTATAAATAGATAAATCAATTGTTAGTAGTTTAACCATGCTTTTCTTACTATTTACATTTCCAACTATTTTCTCTTTGATAACTCTTTGAAAGTTAAGAGTGTTAATTTCTCAATATTTACAACTGAATATAAAGTTAACCGAGTGAAAGGTCAAATGTCGTTAATGCCCTGGCATACCTGACAAATTAGGCAGTGATTCCTTAAACATACTTGTCTTCAATGAGCTGCATATCTTTCAAAACATGTTAATCTCTATTTTTGTATGCATTTCTTTTATTGCATAGTTTGTTGTGTTCAAAATATTGCATTTACAGAGGTTAATGACTAATTTGCACAATCATGAATAAGTATTGTCAGTTTAAATTTTTCATTTATAATGTATAAATTTATAGTTTGATAGATATCATAAATTACAATGGGCAATGCTTGAGGTGGTAGATCATGAATTCTCAAAATAAAATGTAATAAAAAGAATCAGTCAAATACATTTGCCAAGAACACATTAAACATATCTCTAATGCTTTATAGTAAATCAAGTCAGTTTACATATAGCCACATTAACAACAGTGTCTCCTACCTCCAGATATCAGTCTACATATAGCCACATTAACAACAGTATCTCCTACCTCCAGATATCAGTTTACATATAGCCACATTAACAACAGTATCTCCTACCTCCAGATATCAGTTTACATATAGCCACATTAACAACAGTTTCTCCTACCTCCAGATATCAGTTTACATATAGCCACATTAACAACAGTTTCTCCTACCTCCAGATATCTGTGTCAGATCCTGTGGAATTCCTAACCACTCCATGAACGGTTTAGTAGGTAGGCTATCCAAATCTCGGAAGTTTTTGACCGTCTTCTGGAGAAAGTCTGGCCCGGCCAGCCATTTACTTCTCTCCACACTGCGATATGTCTCCTCAATGTTGGCAGCGAACACCTTCTTTGTGTGCTTTATATAACTCTTATAATGCTCTCTGGAAATTCACAATAAATGATACCTTAATTTTCAATAACGATAAAATACCTTAACAATATCTCTGATGTCTCCATACTGTTAATATCACAAAAGACATGATTCAAAGCTTTTGCCATACTGCTAACATGTAATTAAATGTTTTAATAAATTGCTGGTACTTTTCCTCGCTGATATTCATGTATTATGTCAAATGTAATAAAGTTAATAAGGTGTAAGCCCCAAATACCAAGACCCATGTGTTAAATTTTGAATATTGTTAACACTCCATAGAAACCAATCGAAATCTATTCTTCCATATATACTCGCTTTTAAGTCAGATTTTTGAGAGTTAAATTTTGGTCAAAAACTCCATGTCGAAATTATAAGCGAGTCCTAAAAATATTGATTTTTTTTGGATGATGAAAAGTATTATTTTCTTAAAAACTTTGATTATCGTTGAAAAAAGTCAGGACATATTCTAAAGATTTTGTAGGCAGGAAAGTACATCTAAGGTTATTACCATATGCAAAAAGTACAAGTGCTTACAGATTTCTTTTGTACAAAATTATTTTGTGACTAAATTAGTTGATAGACGTAAAAAATACTGGTGGCATACACCATAACATACTTTGAAACACAGGTATTATAATATAATATTGATCTGAAATTGGCACCCGAGTTTGGCAAAAATTGACACAGACTTATAAGTGGGTCAACGGCTCCAAAATAATAATAAAAAAAAAAAGTACAACTGATTTATAAAAAAAAGATGACTGACTTGTATGCAAGTATATATGGTATTTAATGTTTGGAAGCCTCTAGTCCCTTCCCTTCTAGTTTTTACACGCTGAAATACTAGTAAATTGTATTAGAGATGTTTTTTAACCAATGGTGCTTCATGCAGAGGCGTTTAAGGAAAAATTAATGTCAAACATAAAGATCCCCAATTTTGTTACTAAATCACAGCAGCATTGCATGGACCTACATGTATATGAATGTCAAGTTTGAAAATGAAAAGCCATGTCTGAAAAATAAATAGTTGACAATGAAAAAAAAAATCAAAATTGAGCTTACACTGTTGCTTAAAAATAAATGAAAATACTCTAGCATAAATTAAGATTTGTTTTATACTTGTATTTCACATCCTACAAAATTTCTTGGTGATTTGATAAATTTATTCCAGATGTCCTGACTGGACAGAAAATGTCATGCAAGGAATAAAATGATATTTAACAGGTACAGTTCAAAATACTCAGTAAATTGGGAGAAAGATTTTGGTTTGCTACATCAATAAAGCCTAGAGCCTTACTTGTAGTTGTTGAGATTGCTTGTGAATTGCTGTATCAGGCCCTCTGTGTGTCTTGACAATAGATCTTTGATATTCTCTACCATAATCCGATCTTTTACTTCCTTCTCCAGCAAGCTGTTCATCTGTAATCAATGTTTTATTCCAAAGGTCTTTTACTTTGACTAAAGTAAAACTGAAGAATTATCAATGTTCTCTGACATTTAATTAGTTGTACTTACATCATTAAATTGCTTGACAACCCTCTTCATTTTGATATGACACTGCTGTTTAGAGGCAGCTGCTATCTCCTTTTGTCTCTGGAGCTCCACCTGTAGATGGCGCTGTAGGTGGTCCAACTCCAGGTTACTGAATGCTGTCTTTACAGACCTCTGGTGTTGATAGTTTTTCAGAAATGCTGTAGTGTCACTGAAAACATTCAGAAAGGTGAATAAAAAGGGACAACGGATGCAGTGAGATGCAGGCAAATATGCTTGTCTCTTTGATATCTCCATGTAAAAATATTTTCAGTTGAAATGCAGGTTCATATAAAAGCTACTGTTTAAATAGTACACTTTTCTCAAGTTAAAACTTTCCTTGCCATGAAGCATAAAAAACCCTGAAACATTATTGTTTAACACAATACTCCTAATTATATGATGCAAGGATAAATTTATTTTGAATATAGGAAACTTTTTGCCCTATCCTATTTACACACAGTTGCAAATACAGTAAACAGTCAAACCTAATTATCTGGGACCAAAAAAAAACTTCGAGGGTTCAAGATATTGAGGGTAAAATACTTAAAGAAAAGTGCTTGGGACTTTCAAATCACTTCGACATATACATGGTATTCGAAATATTGGTGTTTGAGATACCAAAGTTCAGCTGTAATACATTCCCCATTATATATATTAGTTTATCTTTATTAACATTTGTTGGTTACCTATTACTGGCAATGATGATGAGATAGAACACAGTGATGGAGACACAGGCAGCGTATATAAACTGGAATGTCACGTAAAACACCATTAGTACCAGGTGACACCAGCGGAACTGGAGAACATCTCCTAGAGGCTGACCTGTAGGTGCACACAACACATATTCTCTTTTCAATCAATTTCAGCAATGGCTGACACACAATAATGACATTCATATATAATTTTATTTATTTCATGCTATTTTATGGCAAATGCATAATTTCCTGTCATTTGCATCTTGTATTTTAATTGCCCCAGGGTGGGGATACCCATACATTGAAAGAAACAATTCGAAACACAGTGATATTATTGCAGCAGGCTTAAATGTTTGGCAGCATAAAGAAGAGAAACATTGCTTCTTTTCCCCCATTTACTACACAAATTGACATAACTCAATTTTTTTGTAAAGCATGGATTGGACTAGTATACATCTGTTTTGAAGTATACTTACCAAATTTGACAACGATTCCAACAGTTGAAACAAATATGAGCAGGAGTACCCCTCCACAGACAGATACAATGAATGGGATGGAGAAATGAGGAGGGGCAACTGCTTCTGTAGAGTGTACAGACTGGGACTCACGGCCACTCACTATAAATATATATAATAGGAAATCGTATACATACAATGTAAATATATGATGGGAAATCAGAACCATACACTGTAAATATATATAATAGGAAATCATATACATCACTGTAAATATATATGATAGGAAATCAGAACCATACATTGGTTATATGTACCAAAGTCCATGCATGATACAGAAACAATGAAATATAAATGTATAACTAAGGTCTAAAATAAAGGAACTGGATGTCCAAGTTCTTGCAGCATTTTCAATTATTTCATGAGAAAGTATAAATTCAAATGTAATTTAATTTTTTTCATGTGAACTAAGAGGATACAAATAATACTGTAAGTTGTTTTAATTCCACGGTGTTAAAATTTCACAATTTCTCAAAAAGTACCAATCGCGATGGTTTTAATTTCACGCTGCAAGAAATTAATTCAAATTTTGTATAATCATTTAAATGTTTTTAAAAACTAAAGATAGCATTCACTATGGGTTTAATTTCACGGAAAAATGATGAATCGCGAACATAGTGAAATTAAAACCATCGTGATTATTTGATAATCCACAGTACATACACTGTTTATTATTTCTGATATTTTTCAGCTATTTCTGTACTAATAGATTAAATTCAAATTTGAAAATTTGCTGTAGCTTACGAGAACTGAGCTGACTTGCACTGGCTCTGTACACATGTAGCTGTGATTTCCTGATATTGTCCTTAACAGAAATGATGAATTGCTTGTTAAACCTTGGGGCATCACCGCTGGGGATAGAGAACACTAAGGAAAAGTGTGGGGGGCACTTGACCTGTATGTCATACTGGTACAGAGGTCGACTAGGATAATCAGGGTCAGTAATGTTTACATTCAGAATACCTGAAAGAAAAATAACACACTAGGAATTGGCCTACATATACATGTATTCCCACACAAGGTTTTATGGTAAAAAATTTGGATACAATATATATATAATATGTATACTTTTAAATCAAAGGGTTATTAATTTTCTTTGTATACAAATTAATAGTTTAAGTAAAATGTATAAGGGCTTTAAACTTTTAGTGCCATTAATAACTAGTCAAGAAAACCACGTAATTTAAACAACCTGTATAATAGTAATTTGACATACCTGGACAGGAAACCACTTCACCAGTTACATTAAGATTCCAGTGTGTGAAATTATGGGAAATGTTGCCTTTCAGACTCCCTTCTTTCAGTGTTGCCCCTGGATACAAGGAAGACAATATGGAGGCATGCTTAGCAACCCCAATCTTGACCAGTGATTGGGCAGTGCTATTTGTGATGACATAGGTGAAGTTTCCCAGGTAACGACCTTGTAGAGTCTGTAGATGTTTGTAGGGTTCTCCAGAGTTGATGGAGATCAAGTTCTCCAATGCATCATCATCACAATGCTTCCTCCCTGATAAAATAAATGAAGCAATAAACTAAAAAAAAAAAAAACTGACCATACACATATATACTTAAGAAATAAACAACAATGTTAAAAAGTTATCTGGGAAATGAACTTGGTTGGTCACGTGATCAAATCCTGTGAAGCCTGAAGGGCTTCTCAGAAGATTTGATCACGTATCAACCAAGTTCATTTCCCAGTGAACTTTTTAATATTGTTGTTTATTACTTTTATTTACATCTGAGACAAATATTCTGAATAGAACTGCATTTATTACACAAACTGTCTGCCGTATTGCTATGTTGTGACGCGCAATGACCTAGAAGCTGTTTGGTCGTGAGAGTTCGCCTCGCTCCAAGATTTGAATACTTACATTGATGTTCAGCAGTCCTGTTCAGGAAATATCTGTTCATAATGAAAGAAGAATGATCGCTACTGGGAATAATCTTACTATTATTGTATGAGTTCTTTATATATGAAGTCAAAAGCGATGCTATTGTCTTCAGTTTACATACCTTCGAAGGAATTTCGGGTTAAAAAGGTAAGCATGATTTTAGGTTAATTAGAAACATTCTTCACACCGAAGAAAGATCTAATGATCATTTTTGAACGAAAAAAAAATATATGTTTCAATAATTTTATCTTTTTCATCGCTTTAACGGCTTAGAAGTTCCGAAACCAGTGTCACTGTGACAGAAATATAAAGACAATATATTGTCTCGCTGTGTGATTCTGTCATGCCATGACCTCTGACCTCCTAATAAGTTCATACAGAATTGAACATATTTTCTCTTCAATAGGTTCATCTAAGAAAAATATTTGCAAATGTAAATAAATCATATTGTAATAAAGAGATACTTGACAATTGACTGCCATAAAGCAAAAAACTAAACAAAAAAAAAAGCCAGGACCATACAGATATATACTTCACATTGTAATAAAGAGATACTTGATGGCCATAACTGGTATCAAAACACAAGAAAGAAAACAAATGCAGTGAGTTCACCGAAATTTTTCTGAAAAAATTTCAGGTCCTTTGTAAATTCTCTACTATTTTTTGTGAAACTCAGATTAAAACATCAAATGTTTTAAATGTTTGATTGGTCAATTACCAAATGTCTTTGATGCCTCTATGTACGGTTTTATTGGTCTCTTACCGAATGTCTTTGTTGTCCCTATACAAGTCTTGATTGGTCTCTCACCAAATGTCTTTGATGTCTCTATGTGTGGTTTGATTGATATCTTACCGAATGTCTTTGATGTCTCTTTGTAAGGTTTGATTGGCCTCTTACCAAATGTCTTTGATGTCTCTATATAAGGTTTGATTGGTCTCTCACCAAATGTCTTTGATGTCTCTATGTGTGGTTTGATTGACATCTTACCGAATGTCTTTGATGTCTCTATATAAGGTTTGATTGATATCTTATGAAATGTCTTTGATGTCTCTATATATGGTTTGATTGGTCTCTTACTGAATGTCTTTGATGTCTCTATGTATGATTTGATTGGTCTCTTACCGACTCTATGTAAGCTTTGATTGGTCTCTTACCGAATGTCTTTGATGTCTCTATGTATGGTTTGATTGATATCTTACTGAATGTCTTTGATGTCTCTATATAAGGTTTGATTGGTCTCTTACCGAATGTCTTTGATGTCTCTATATAAGGTTTGATTGGTCTCTTACCGAATGTCTTTGATGTCTCTATGTAAGGTCTAATTGGTCTCTTACCAAATGTCTTTGATGTCTCTATATAAGGCTTGATTGATGTCTTACCGAATGTCTTCGATGTCTCTATGTATGGTTTGATTGATATCTTACTGAATGTCTTTGATGTCTCTATGTATGGTTTGATTGATCTCTTACCAAATGTCTTTGATGTATCTATATAAGGTTTGATTGATGTCTTACCGAATGTCTTTGATGTCTCTATGTATGGTTTGATTGATATCTTACTGAATGTCTTTGATTTCTCTATATAAGGTTTGATTGGTCTCTTACCGAATGTCTTTGATGTCTCTATGTAAGGTCTGATTGGTCTCTTACCAAATGTCTTTGATGTATCTATATAAGGCTTGATTGATGTCTTACCGAATGTCTTTGATGTCTCTATATAAGGCTTGATTGGCCTTACTGGAGCTGTAGATCCCTGTATATAAGAACTTCTGACACTCTCCCCTGATGTCTTGTATTTCCCCACTGTTACGTCTCTCTGACCTGGTGACCCCTCAATCATATCAGGAATGACATCTAACTTGGACTCTACCTCCACCTTTACAATGTGTTTACTGTAAAAGAATTATAGTGAGTGGAAAACAGTGAAAGAGTATTTCCTACACACATGCATTTCCTAGTTAAATCAGTTACTTTAGTGATCCTAAGTGGTCATGATTTGACAAAGCTGAATGAGGACCATGGTACTTATGTATGATTTGTTACAGAAGCCTTTAGAAGTTCTAAAATTTTCCTATCCTGTTATAAAATTTGACACTCACTGCATTTGGTTGAGCAAGTTAAATATTCAGTAAATATTTAATGCCCATTTAACTTTACAATAAAACTCCAGTCAAACCTCATCTCCGATAATACTAAAAAAAACTTCAAGACATCAAAGAATTCAAAATAATGATGTTGAAAAACATACAGAAAAACGCTTGGGACTTCCAACTAACTTGGTCATCCATGGTATTCGAAATATTGATGTTCAATCGCAAGATACCAAATTCAACTGTTTATGAAATAAAAACATCTACATGCTTTGTACTTACTCTGATTTCAATTTTCCATACTTCTGCCACATTTCATCTCCATATATGGTAAAGCTCTGAGTCATCAATGTATTATAGTAGTGTTTGATTGTATACTCCAACTCTAAAAGCTTTTGATTGGGTAATAGAGTCATGTGACATAAAAAGTCATCTTTGGGATGATAAACAGGTTTCAGTCTAAATTCAATAAGGTCTCCTTGTTTGCACCTGAAAAATGAAAAAAAAATACATACAACTTTAATATCAACATGAGATTTGTATATTACAATAAGTTCTGAATATGGTGGATGCATTCTCAGTTTCCAAGTATTATGGAAATTTGTACTACTAAAGTCAAAGACAACACCAAAATGCCCTTAGTTTTTGGATCAAGACATATGTATGGGCTTCTGATGTTACACTTCTAGAGAAATTATAGCTACAAACTAAGACAAAAATACAAACAAGGTGATTCCCTCCCATCCTTTCAAACTTTGACTGCAAGTAGTACACAGAAAACCCAATATCCTTCATGTGTGAATAACCTTACAACTTTATAAAGAAGGGAAAAATACCAACAGTTTGTCATTGAAGAAGAATCTCATTTGCATTCATGAAAACAAAGAGATTGAGAAAGAAAATTGTAGACATATGCTCCAATATCAAAATCATAAAGGTTCCACTCAAAATTTACTGCTTCATGTATTTAAGTGCAGACTAGTATAGTATATAAGAACAAGAGGCCCATGGGGCACATCGCTAACCTGAGCACATTGGCTAGGAAAAAAAGCAAAAATCACTTCAGTATTGAAAAGTTTACGGGGGGGGGGGGGGGGGGGGGGGGGGGGTGGTTGAATTTTAAACTACCTGATGATGCTTTCATATCATTTGGACAAATTTCATTCTACACTACCGAAGGATGCCTCCATATCAATTTGACTAATCATGGTTTTTCTGTTCTTGAGAAAAAGATTTTTTCCTATATATTCCTCTGTAAACTTTGATCACCGATTGTGGCCCCACCCTACCCCGGGGGTCATGATTTGAACAAACTTGAATCTACACTACCTGAGGATGCTTCCATATAAATATGACCAATCATGGCTTTGCTGTTCTTAAGAAGAAGATTTTTAAAGATATTTTCCTATATATTTCAATGTAAGACTTTTATCCCTCATTGAGGCCCCATCCTACCTCCGGGGGTCATGATTTGAAAAAAATTGAATCTACACTACCTGAGGATGTTTCCACATAAGTTTCATCTTTCCTGGCCCAGTGGTTCTTGAGAAGAAGATTTAAATGATGCCATTATTTTTTCCCCAATTCCTAATTATCTCCCCTTGAAAGAGGGTGTGGCCCTTTATTTGAAGAAACTTGAATTCCCTTCACCCAAGGATGCTTTGTGGCAAGTTTGGTTGAATTTGGCCCAGTGGTTCTTGAGAAGTCAAAAATGTGAAAAGTTTACAGACAGACAGACAGACGGACGCCGGACAAAATGTGATCAGAAAAGCTCACTTGAGCCTTCGGCTCAGGTGAGCTAAAAATATAATATAATTTCCAAACCTTTCTGTTCGACAGATGTAGTCATGATATGTCTTGCAGACATCACTGCAGTTACTTTGGGTACAACATGTGAAGCATTCTGGGAGTCGGGGGGACTGGCCGTTGTCTCCCCCGGTGATGGAGCACTCCCCTCTCTGTAGCAGCATCTGTCTGGCACAGTGTCGAGTACAGTTCAAACAGGCAGCATTACTCAGCAGACAGCTGAAAAACAAAGCAATTTCACACTTATAAAATATAGAGTCTATCTATGGTCACTGTACATGTAATCCACAATAACAAGTACATCTATGCGGAAGCACATGGTGAAATAATATCAGAAAATGTGAGATCAATATTGACTTCTGTTCAATATCAAACCATATCAAGCATCTAAAAAGTCCATAATAGAGTAAAAATAGATGTCAACTACATATAATAAAAAAAAAAATATCTATTTAAATACTATTAACATGGACTTTGCACTCCTTGTACCCTAGGCTCATCTATATGCTCAAGTGTTCAAAAGAGCAAACATTTCAAGGAGCATTTTTTGTCAATTTGATAACTAATTTAACCTACAATATGACCAAATCAACTTCTGAACTAGACAGACCTTTCTGACTTCTCTACCCAAGTAGATGTGCTGGTGGTGAATTGGGAGTCTAGCACAGAGAACACACCACTGACTGGACCTGGCTCGGAGCACATGATGGAACCCTCCGTGGTACCCTCTTGAGGGGGGTACTGCCCGTGCTGAGTGTAAGTTGTACAGGGCTTTATCAGGGTGTGTCCATATTTCTGTCTCTCCTTGTACGTTATGTTCTGTAATAAAAGGTGAGAATGATTAACTTCCCTGGGAATGAAAAGACAGATTTCTTCTTTTATTACAGTGTGTTTTTAAATTTAATCTTAGAATAAATGCATGAAATTAAAGATTTTTAAAAATGATAAAGCATGTCAATGAAAATTCAACAATGGAAATTTAAAAGCAATTACTGGTAATATGTAACACACACAATAAGGAAATAACAAAGACATAAAATTATATATTTGCATTTGACTTTTCTTTATGAATGATGTGGATATAACATTTGAATTTCCTTTGTTAACGATGTGGATATAACTGCCACCTTATGAGTTTTGTAGTACAGTTCATGTTTAATTGGCATTGGATAAGGACAGTATCTCCTCAACACAGATTTGTCTCCTTTGAAACTATCCAGCTCATTCTGACCCGAGTGATTGACAGGAGAAAACATTGGAGCAGGATGAAGGTACTTCAAGGCCACCTCAATGTAAAATCCAGACCCTAAAGAAACATTACAGAGAACATGTACAATACATTGAAAATGTTAAGGATATACTCCTTGAGGGGAATCTCAATGTAAAATTGGTACTCTAAAGCAAACTAATACATTAATTCACACATGGTAAGGTTCCAAGCCAATCCACCCTCACAAGATGAAACTGCACAACTCAGTCAAGTGAAACATCTGGAGAGATGGCTGAATGTCATTCAGTCATCTTTCAGTTAATTGAACTTCTCTCTCTCTCTCTCTCTCTCTCTCGTGGTCAGTGTAACATACCTTTAGAAAACATGAAAGCCTGGGTATTTTGGCCTGGGGCACTTTCTCTGTGACGGACAGTTGTCATATCATTCTTGTAGGTATCGTCTCTGTCCTCCACAATCAAATTACCACTGACCATGGGTGGCTTAAGATCCCCCCTGCCTATTAATATCATAAAATTTTCAGTATTTGTATGTCTAAGCTGTAATGCAGAAACAACTGAACCTAATTATTGATAAGATTGATAATTTCTGGATGTGGCAGTTTTCTTATTGTATACCCACCTTTACAGATTCTGTTCTGCGACTGTGTACAGCGCTGGTACTCATACTGACTATCCAAACACTCCCCCTGACACACTGAATATAAAACAACAGGATGTGGTCTTTATATAGTCATAATACTATTAGTACTCATACTGACTATCCACTCTCCCTGACATTCTGAATATAAAACAACAGGATGTAGTCTTTATATAGTCATAATACTATTAGTACTCATACTGACTATCCAAACAATCTCCCTGACACACTGAATAAATGAATAAAACATGATGTAGTCTTTATATAGTCATAATACCATTAGTACTCATACTGACTATCCAAACACTCCCCCTGACACACTGAATAAAACAGGATGTAGTCTTTATATAGTCATAATACTATTAGTACTCATACTGACTATCCAAACACTCTCCCTGACACACTGAATATAAAACAACAGGATGTAGTCTTTATATAGTCATAATACCATTAATACTCATACTGACTATCCAAACACTCCCCCTGACAAACTGAATAAATGAATAAAACATGATGTAGTCTTCATATAGTAATAATACTATTAGTACTTATACTGACTATCCAAACACTCCCCCTGACACACTGAATATAAAACAACAGGATGTAGTCTTTATATAGTCATAATACCATTAGTACTCATACTGACTATCCAAACACTCCCCCTGACACACTGAATAAAACAGGATGTAGTCTTTATATAGTCATAATACTATTAGTACTCATACTGACTATCCAAACACTCCCCCTGACACACTGAATATAAAACAACAGGATGTGGTCTTTATATAGTCATGATACCATTAGTACTCATACTGACTATCCAAACAATCTCCCTGACACACTGAATAAAATAGGATGTAGTCTTTATATAGTCATAATACTATTAGTACTCATACTGACTATCCAAACACTCCCCCTGACACACTGAATATAAAACAACAGGATGTGGTCTTTATATAGTCATGATACCATTAGTACTCATACTGACTATCCAAACAATCTCCCTGACACACTGAATAAAATAGGATGTAGTCTTTATATAGTCATAATACTATTAGTACTCATACTGACTATCCAAACACTCCCCCTGACACACTGAATATAAAACAACAGGATGTGGTCTTTATATAGTCATGATACCATTAGTACTCATACTGACTATCCAAACAATCTCCCTGACACACTGAATAAAATAGGATGTAGTCTTTATATAGTCATAATACCATTAGTACTCATACTGACTATCCAAACAATCTCCCTGACACACTGAATAAAATAGGATGTAGTCTTTATATAGTCATAATACTATTAGTACTCATACTGACTATCCAAACACTCCCCCTGACACACTGAATAAAAAACAACTGGATGTAGTCTTTATATAGTCATAATACTAGTAGTAGTCATACTGACTATCCAAACACTCTCCCTGACACACTGAATAAAATAGGATGTAGTCTTTATATAGTCATAATACTATTAGTACTCATACTGACTATCCAAACACTCCCCCTTACACACTGAATATAAAACAACAGGATGTGGTCTTTATATAGTCATAATACTATTAGTACTCATACTGACTATCCAAACACTCTCCCTGACTCACTGAATAAAATAGGATGTAGTCTTTATATAGTCATAATACTATTAGTACTTATACTGACCAACCAAACACTCACCCTTACAACACTGAATATAAAACAACAGGATGTGGTCTTTATATAGTCATAATACTATTAGTACTCATGCTGACTATCCAAACACTCTCCCTGACTCACTGAATAAAATAGGATGTAGTCTTTATATAGTCATAATACTATTAGTACTTATACTGACCAACCAAACACTCACCCTTACAACACTGAATATAAAACAACAGGATGTGGTTTTTATATAGTCATAATACTATTAGTACTCATACTGACTATCTAAACACTCTCCCTGACACACTGAATATAAAACAACAGGATGTAGTCTTTATATAGTCATAATACTATTAGTACTCATACTGACTATCCAAACACTCTCCCTGACACACTGAATAAAAAACAAGACGATGTAGTCCAATACATGTAGCTATAAAGATTGTGTTTCTTTGTTTTGAATCTATTAGTGCTTCTGTGTATAAATGCTACGTACACAAACTGTTGTACTGTTTATAACATATAAAAAAATTTTAGAAATGACTTACTGCGACAACTAGCATCATCCATTTTCCCACATTTACTGTACATGTAGAACCCTTTCTCACACTGATCAGTGCATTCTACAAAAAAGAAAATAGTCACAAATTTTGATTTCCTCTTAAATAAGATAATTAGGTCATTAATGCCTTTACAAACTTTCTACAAGGTATTCTATTGCAATAAATAACAGAACAAGCCACTATACCAATACACTGCTTCTGTTGGTTGTTTCCACAAGATCCCTTCTGATATGTTCCTGGTCTGCAAGGGGCATTACACTCTGAAAGATAAAGTTACATTTGCATTGTAATGAAATTTCCTTGCTATAAGAGCTTCATCTGATTAAGAGACGATAAAAATATGAAATCAATTTTGGTTTATAACACAAACGAAATGTAGACTGGCAAAAATCAAGAGGTCCAATCACTAAATGTTGGTGTGATATATGTAGCTGTGTCTGTGATATCAATAGCTAAATGTTGGTGTGATACATGTAGCTGTTTCTGTGATATCAATAGCTAAATGTTGGTGTGATACATGTAACAGCTTATCTAAATGTTTGTGTGATAAATGTACCTGTTTCTGTGATATATGTGGTTGTTCCTGTGGTATCAGTAGCTACATGTAGATGTGATATATGTAGCTGTTTATCTAAATGATTGTATGATACTTAAAGCTGTTTCTGTGGTATCAATAGCTAAATGTTGGGTGTGATATATGTAGCTGTTTCTGTGATATCAATAGCTAAATGTTGGGTGTGATATATGTAGCTGTTTCTGTGATATCAATAGCTAAATGTTGGGTGTGATATATGTAGCTGTTTCTGTGGTATCAATAGCTAAATGTTGGTGTGATACATGTAGCTGTTTCTGTGGTATCAATAGCTAAATGTTGGTGTGATATATGTAGCTGTTTCTGTGGTATCAATAGCTAAATGTTGGTGTGATACATGTAGCTGTTTCTGTGGTATCAATCACTAAATGTTGGTGTGATACATGTAGCTGTTTCTGTGGTATCAATAGCTAAATGTTGGTGTGATATATGTATCTGTTTCTGTGGTATCAATAGCTAAATGTTGGTGTGATACATGTAGCTGTTTCTGTGATATCAATAGCTAAATGTTGGTGTGATACCACGTAGCAGTTTCTGTGATATCAATAGCTACATGTTGGTCTGATATATGTTGATGTTTCTGTGTTTCTGTGATATCAAATGATGAAAATGTAGCTGTGATATTAGTCACTGCTGAATTTCTGATATAGTTAAACAATGCTGTGAAACTAGTAATTGCTGATATGGTTAAACAATGCTGTGAAACTAGTAATTGCTGAAATGGTTAAACAATGCTGTGAAACTAGTAATTGCTGATATGGTTAAACAATGCTGTGAAACTAGTTATTGCTGATATGGTTAAACAATGCTGTGAAACTAGTAATTGCTGATATGGTTAAACAATGCTGTGAAACTAGTAATTGCTGATATGGTTAAACAATGCTGTGAAACTAGTAATTGCTGATATGGTTACTGGGAAATTATTGTTTGTGAGGGACCAATGTTCATGAATTTTGTGGGTCACTCTTACCCACAAATTTACATCTCCATGAACAATACCTTATCAACCTATCAGTTCATTGAATCTTCTGTATATAGGTGTTACCCATAAAATTATGTCCCCATGAACCATCAAGATCTTGGTTGCCCACACTGAGCCTCATGAATAAGTGGTCCCACAGTATATGTTGCTGTGGCACTAGTGATGTTGCTACATGTTGCTGTGATATTATATGATGCTGTGGCACTAGTGATATTGCTACATGTAGCTGTGATACTAACCCTCACAAGACTTCCCATCTCCATGAAAGGGTGGGCTACAGATGCAGTAGTAGGAACCAATCATATTGAGACATCCAGCATCCTCATGACACAGGAAGGAACCATCTCTACACTCGTTTACATCTGTGAGTGAAGGAAAAATAAACTCAGTATACATGTACAATGAAATGATTATTGAATTTCAGATTGTTTCTCCATTAATCACCAACAGTGAAGTTAGAAGACTGAATATCAAAATTTTAAACACTGTAAAGGTACACAGCATCAATCTGATCTCCATGTCTTTAAATTTGAACCATTCAGTAACTTCAAAGTTGATTTTGTTCAATTTTTTTTATAGGTGGCTGGCAACAATGGGACACAAGCACCTGCAGTCATTCACTATTACCTTGACATTTGTTATGCAAGTCTGTTCGGTACCCCTTCTTACAGATACACTGTCCTGTATCCTCGTCACAGCCCTGGGGACACAGAGATTTGTAACACTTTGATGAGTTCAAGTTCTCCAGCTTCGGTTCTCTAACATCTGAAAGTTGAACATGACTTCACTTACATCCATGTATTTCTGACAAACTTAAACAAAGATTAAGATACTTCAATAAATTCTATATTTTTAACATTCTACTAGTGTTTCTGGAAAAGACCTATAATGCACTCTTATTGCAATGTTTCCTTTCCATTTCCTAATAATTCCTTAATACCCGGTACACAAATTTTGTTAAAAGATTGATGCACGAAAAATGGACATAAAATGACTCGTCTTGAATGACACCGACCATAAGCCTGAACTTTGTATGGATTGTCCACAACATAAGCAGGTTTGTCTTGATGAAAAAAAACTTCAATTTTCTGGTTGAAGAAATGCTTGGGAGCATACACAGTGATGTGGACTTGGGTTCCTGTGGAGTTCACTTTACTGTACACTCCTCCAATCAAACTCAATATACACAAGGTACATACTATTGTCAGATGGAGTCTAAAACAAAGACAAATGGTCACTCAAATTTGCATTACAATCTATAATTCCAATGAGCTAAAGTATTTTTCTGACATGGCAAGATGTCACAGCATTGGAAAATGCAATATCCATTTAAATTTCTACGATACAATACTAATTCCAAATTTGAGAATTATAAAAGAAATAAGTTACTTACTACAATGTACTACAATTTTAATTTTCTAAATTCAAGAAAAAAAAAACAATATAATAAACCAAACCTTGCAGGAATGTTTTTCCTTTTAACACTCCCACTCCTGGTTGGAACCTCTGTAGCTGGTTCCCCACTCTGTCCAGCATTATCTGGTTCTGACCTCTGACTACCCTGTCTCTGTATTTTGGCATATTCTGGACCTCCATTCTTACTGGAATTAGAATGCTCTGGGCCACCATTTCTAACTGAGGATGGAACAGTCTTGTGCCAGGAGGGTCTCTGTGGTGGGTGGAATAACTTTGGGGGTGGGGGAAGTGAGGATCCCCCTGAAGCCTCTCCTCCATTCAGCTGTGAGTCTGGAGGAGGGGGTGGAAGAGACTCAGCCTCAGTTTCAGGAAAAACAAAATGAGTTCTGTTAACTGTACTAGACGGCGAGGCAGCGATTGTGATGTATGTTCCTCCTCCTATAAAACAATCAAATATTAGAAATACTGTATACCCCTTACAAAGTAGCTTTTTGCTATGCATGCAATAATATCATTTGTTTTTACAAACATTAATGGTATTTTTGCTGTACCTTAAACATCTGCATTGTTAGAAATTGTAGGATACATACCAAAGTCCATGAAAGGAGAGAGAGGGAGTGACATAGCTGTGGGAGCTTCATCATATGCGAAGCTTCTGAGTGGAGATCTTGGCTCCTTGGAAGCTTGCTTAACAAAAGCTGGTGGACTTGGAAGTGGAAGACTCACATCAGACAACACATCTGCATCAGACTCCAAGGGTGGAATTTCAAAGTCCATATCTGAGTCAATATCCTCATAATTATTGTCTGTACCTTTCTTTTTAAATACCTCTGTGCTATCATACATTGATCCATCACTGTTAACACTATATCTTGTCCTATCCCCAGATTTTTGTCTATGTCTATCTACTTGGGGATTCCGTAATCTGTTGTCAGGATATCTTGAGGGACTGTTTTTAGCTCCCTGTCTTGCTGGACTCCCATCATTGAGGTTTCTGGCTGGACTGCTGCTCAGTGGAACTCGGGCTGGACTACTCCCTGTGGGGACCCTATACATCCCCTCCCCTGAAGGGTGTCTGATTCTCTCCCCCTGGTGTCTCTCCCCTGACAGATGCCTGGTTCTGCTGTCACCAGAAATGTGACGTTTTCTGCCATCTGGGCCAGGAACACGAGGTGCGAATATGTCATCATCATCATCATCCTCATCATCTTCAACTTCAAACACATCTTTTTCTTCTGGTGCCTCTGGGTCAATGAATAAACCTGAAACAAAACATATAATTCAATGAATTTTACAATTATATAAAAGTATTAAATTTCACTACAAAGTGAAAATTTGTATAAACTCTGTGACACACGGAAAGTACATATGTAAGGTATTAAACTTACTGGTTGTACGAGTTCTACCAGACTTTTGTCTCTGTAGAGTCCCTGAGAAGCTGGTCAGAGGAATATCCATTGGGTTACTATCCACTTTAGGTGTGCCTGGCTCTACTGGTGACAGGGGTGGCTGGACTGGGGGTCCCCTTACTGTACCCATTTGTACAATACCAGAAGCATTGTCTCCACCTATAGATGTCTTATCATAAACTTCTGCACCAATCAATGGAGTCTTGGCACGCTCTTCCTGAGGGGTGATGGGTTCATGTCTCCTTAGTGAACTTCGACTGTTTTCCTGTGGTGTGGGTGGTAGTTCCTCTCTCCTTATTGAACTTCTGCTTGTCTCTTGAGGTGTAGTTGGTTCATCTCTTTTGATTGAACTTCTACTGCTTGCCTTGCTGCTTGATAATTTCCCTAACTGGGGAATCTGATAGTTAGCTTTCTGTCTGGCTGAGTTGCGATTTTCAATGTCACCATCTGATCTTGCCACTGGAAGTACTGGCTGATTGATTCCCCTGTATAGTCGAACATCCATTTCTTGGTATGTGAATGAACTCTCTGATTTCTTGTCAATGCTGGCTTGGCTGCCCTCAATTAAAGGTTCAAGTTGTCTCTTATGAGTGTTTCCCTCCCCATCAGAATCGTCACTGTTGGGGTAGTCCATTACAGTGTTGTAGGAGGGAGGGTCATTCAGGGAGGGGTGCCTCTTCCTGTGGCTGTGTTGTCTGACATACTGACGGTGAGCCCTCGCAGAGCTGGACTGTCTCTGTTTTGGCAGAAATTCCTTTTCTTCATTGTCATCATCATCTTCAAAATGGTGGGACAGCCTAACCTCAGCCATTTTCCTGTTCTCGGCTTCTTCTTCCTCTGGCTCCTCAGGTACCCCCGTCAGTGTCTCCTCTCCATCCTAGTAAAGCAGACATTGTTGAATTGGCAAAATGACTCATTAAAAATCATATGAAACTTGTCTGATGTACAATCTTTATCATGATGTATATCAAATATTCCTTCAGCATCCTTAGAATTAAAAAAAATTCTTTCAGAGTAACATATTACACAAATGTATTCAAAAATAAAAAAATTGTAAAATAGTACATTCAAAATATTGTGCTTAAAATAAATTCCACTTTATCTAGTTTGAAATTACACCTATCAGCCTCTTCCCAGAATTCAGTGTGTTTCCTGTTCCTACCTGTCCCACAGACTCCCCAGCATGAGTAGAAGACAGATGAATACTGTGACGAGATCGCTTCATCACATTGCCATAACTAAGATTATCCTGCTGGAGCTTTAGGTGTTGTTTGGTACAGTACCAATGGGTCGCCCAAAGAATGGCCAGTCCTGCCACAATGAAGGCCCCCACTCCTATCCCTGTGAATATCCATGGCAGGGTGATCACAGACCCTGAGATCCTCTCCTCAAACTACAATTGAATTATGTTATTAAATTTATATCCCCTCCTTTCTCTACAAATTTTAAGTTTATCCCTAAATTCCTGAAAAAGCAACATTTTTTTTTAATGAAAGTGGAGGCTCTTATTCTTCCTCAACAGAACTGTTGCAAATGAATTTTACTTAACTTGCATCAAAAACACAAGTTATAAGCTCTCCTTTTATTTCATCTATCAATTACCACTTGTATGAGTAGTCTGCCCTTGCTCTCTTCTATGGTCGATTTAACCGAGTAAGCATCATCTATACTGGGAGACGAGATGTTCAGCAGCACCTTGAAATCACTGGACTCCTTAAAACTCACCGACCCCTGGAATTTAGATATACTAGTGTTATTATTTAATTTAGATACAAATGAACCTCATTATCTCTAACTCTAAGAAGCAAAAAAAAAACCTTCAACATATCTGAGGATTCGAGATACTGAGGTAAAAATTAATGAAGAGAAAGTGGTTGAGACTTCTAAATCCACTTCAACATATCCATGGTATTTAAGATAATGATGTTCAACTGATACCAAAGTTCAACTGTATATACATGTAAGTTAATTAAAAAGCAAACAAACAAAATTTGTTGATCGTAAACAATTATTCCCCTGCAGTGAGATACATGAAGATTTTTAACTATCATATGACCAAAAATTACATCAAAATGGTGATACATGTAGTACATGTAGTTAATAACTGCAAATTAGGGAATGGGGGTAACCTCGATTTTTAATGAGAAAAGGCTTTAAATATCCAACTTATCTTGGCATACGAACAAAACCATATATATTAAACAGCTAATTAAATCTGAATACATCTTCACTAATTGCTCTGAATTTTGAAAAAGGCCTAAATGAAGTCAAGAAGTGGGATAAAAAAGGTTCAAGGAATTATTTCACATTGAATTCACAGAACCTTGGCTTGTCTCACTGATTACATCAAATTGCTCATTGCTATTGTCAACAAACCAAAGAATGGTGATTCTACGCACTGCTGGTCCAGACAGAGGGGGTAAATAGATCCCTCCTGGGGTCAGGGGGGTCACCAACGTGGAACTGATCCCACCCCTGTCCCTTTGTCTACCTTACATAATGTGGATATCAGACTATCTGTTGATTTGTCAAAGGATTTTTTTTCTACTCAATAAATCTGCACGCTACCAGATCACAGGTCTTCTCAATGTTTGCAAAATAATTCCACAAACAAGTTCTGTATTTCAGAAATTTCTATTTGTATAGAGATTACTTTCAAACACAGGAACAAAGCTGCTGCTAAGTCATCAAGGGGTATTTGTTTACAAACACCAGTACTTGTTTGTGCAATGCAGTACTATATGACTGAGCAAGAAAAGGATATCTTATGAATGAATTTTTCGAAATATTGAGTCTACGATCAGTTTGAACAACTGCCAAACAGTTCAAACAAAACAACAAAACAATCAAAGTCCAGGATTATGTGTCACCAGCTGACAAGTGACAGCAGAAACAACACCAATGACCCCTGACCTCAACCTTGATTTGGACAGAATATTGCAGACAAGATTACATAATTTGCAGGAGCTCAGATAACGGTCTGAGAGGGAAGTTAAATTGGTTGATTGCAGTAATATTTTTTATCTCTGTTTTTTACACATGTTATCAGATAGAAGCTTGAGAACGTGGTTTCTGTCCTTCTTCTAAAACTATATCTTCTTAGAACCCCCCAAAAAATCATCATTTTAGATTTCATGTATTTCCCAATAAAGAATTAAAGATGCACATGTGAAGCAAACTCATATTTTTTCCTTCAAAAATGTCAAAGCATGCTTAAAATATGTCCAGAACAACTTGCATGATGATTATATACTTCAGAAGTACTTATGAATCACATCTTCTCTCGACTTCCGAAAAATTCCAAAATATATATTTTGCTAAGCTAAACCTTATAATTTCAAAATCATTCATACGACTTAGGTCATCTATATTAGTAGCATTCTATCAATGATATTTTTTTCATTTTGTAATTCAATTTAAAGTTTCAAGTCATTTGTTAATTAACCCCAACATACATTAGGCAAGTATATGTAAGGATATGTATTCCCTGATGACATCAGAGCTCCTACTGACAGACAGACAATGCCCAACAAAAGATCTACTTTGTATCTCCTTACAAAGACAAATATACGAGCGCGTCATTATGTTTCCAAGTGTCCTCGTAGTTCTGATATATCATTCAATAAGGTTCAGGAATTAACATATCCTGGTCTTTTTCATGTTTTTATCTTGCTCTGGGATCTAGAACATCCCATTGAAGTCTTCTTTGCTCTGAAGATAAACACTACAACATTGACGAGATTTAAATTCAATTAAATGGGGGACCTAAAGGGACTGCAATAAGCATATGAATTAAAGACATCAATTCTTAAGTCCTCTGTCAGAATATTTTAACATAATTCTCAGGATTAAACTTCATTCAAATATATGTTAAAGTTTTTGCAAGAAGGTGCTTTGGTAAACTTGCAAAATCATTTTAAAAAATGTATTTCAGTATTTAAACTTTTTAAGAGGGTACTAGGGCTGTGTATTGAGCAAAAAATTTCAATACGATACAATATTATATAGAGCGATATGCGATATATTGTATTCTTACACGTCTATCAAAAAAAGTTTTGTAAATCATTTAATTCATAAACCTATAAAAACAGAGTTTTTTATAACCCATTTCAAAGTTCTTGTCTCACTGTCATTACAAAGTAAACTTCAAATTCAAACTTTTTAACGACTGTAAAACCAACATGTTAAAAAAATTGTTGTCTATGCATTTTGTAATAGTCATTTATTATGTGCTATCTCCTTAATGTTTATATCATTATTGATCGGTTTTAATTCAAAACAGTTAAATATAATCTTTCAAATTGGTGATTGAAACTACCAACTTTTTCATAGAATTATAAGAAAAACTGCCTGCTTGATACGTATTGGAAGTTATTTTTTTGATACGATACATTCTTGAATATCGGTACGTATCAACATATCGATATATTGACACAGCCCAGAGGGTACCAATATGACCTGATACTCTTCAACCTAGGCATATTTCATGAAGCACCTTTGCACTTTATCAAGTTTAAATGTGTAAAAAGTATCTGGTTATAAGATACTCATGAACTTTTAAAACTGAAATACATTATACTGACATTTACATTCAAATTATTCATTTATTTCGGAAACTGTCAAACTGTCTAGGATTTCTCTCCTTGTGTTTGCTAAAAGCTAAAAGTAGTGCCACCTAACTTAAATATTAATCCTCATAAGTTATAGTACACATGGATGCACACATGAATACTGAATTTTTTTCAAAGAATCTTGGAGACTTTACTTCATATGTAAATATTCAATTTGATGTAAAACAATCTTTTTTCATTTTTATCATGCCATTTTTTGCTCTTCGATGTGCCTTAAGGAATTACAGTATAATGCAGTGATGCACTTATACAAATCTAATCATAAAACACCAATTCTACCCCTTATACTGTTCATTTTTAGCATTCCTCAACTCCAAAACTTCTGTGGCAGACAGACAGGTTCGATCACCTATGGCCAGATAGCTCAATTAATGGTGGAGCACCTGACTAGTGATTCAGGAGGCCAAGGTTCGAATCCTGGTCTGGTCCATCACATTTTTCTCCTTTTCTGTTACACTTCTAACTTGTAAAGAAGTATATCACAAAGTACATATTCATTTTAATATTAAGCAAAAAAAGCTTCAGGAAATGAGAGCGATGGACACTGGACAGTTCTATGAATCACAAGACAAAGATAAAATCTATATAGTCACTCGACTGTCTACAGGTTATTGAATAATATGTATCTACATCCTTGTACAGAATACTGTAATCTCTATCTGATTGTGTAGTACATATATCTACAGAATACTATAATCTCTATCTGATCATGGACAGATATCTACAGAATACTGTAATCTCTATCTGATCATGGACAGATATCTACAGAATGCTGTAATCTCTATCTAATCTCATGTACATATATCTACAGAATACTGTAATCTCTATCTGATCATGGACAGATATCTACAGAATACTCTAATCTCTATCTGATTGTGTACATATATCTACAGAATACTGTAATCTCTATCTGGTCATGTACATCTCTATCTGATTATGTACAGATATCTACAGAATACTGTTATCTCTATCTGATCATGTACATCTCTATCTGATTGTGTATGGATATCTATAGAATACTGTAATCTCTATCTGATCATGTACATATATCTACAGACTACTGTAATCTCTATCTGATTGTGTACAGATATCTACAGACTACTGTAATCTCTATCTGATTGTGTACATATATCTACAGAATACTGTAATCTCTATCTGATCGTGTACATATTTTCTACAGAATACGGTAATCTCTATCTGATCATGTACAGATATCTACAGAATTCAGTAATCTCTATCTGATTGTGTACATGTATCTATAGAATACTGTAATCGCTATCTGATCATGTACAGATATCTACAGAATACCGTAATCTCTATCTGATCGTGTACATATATCTACAGAATACTATAATCTCTAGCTGATCATGTACAGATATCTACAGAACACTGTAATCACTATCTGATCGTGTACATATTTTCTACAGAATACGGTAATCTCTATCTGATCACGTACAGATATCTACAGAATAGTGTGGTATCTCTATCTGATTGTGTACATATTATCTACAGAATACAGTAATCTCTATCTGATTGTAAACATATATCTATAGAATACGGTAATCTATCTCTGATTGTATATATATATATATATATATATATATATATATATATATATATATATATATATATATATATATAGATAGATATATATATATATATATATATATATATATATATATATATATAGTTAAAAGAAACCAAAAAAAAATATGTGCTCAAGCATTTTCAGTTTGTAAAGAAAACAAGAAATATGTCCATAGGACATGAATGCCCTGCCGAGGGTATATTAGTAATGCAACATTTTAACACAAATTGAGAAAAGTGAGGTCAAGGTCAAAGGAAAGGTCAAGGTGAAAAATTGTTGATGCAGTTGAAAAGGATACATCAGTATTTTTTAGCATAATGAAGTTAGATAAAAATATTATGAATGGTTTCTTAAAAACTGAGCTAGAGACTAATTTAAGAAAAGTGAGGTCAAAGGAAAGGTCAAGGTCAAAAAATATTGATGCAGTTGAATAGCTCTCATCAGTATGTATCAGCATATGAAGTTTGACACTAATTTAAGAAAAGTGAGGTCAAGGTCAAAGGAAAGGTCAA